AAATGGAATAACTTCAAAATCTTAGTAAATTTACAGCTTATGTTTAACAGCAAGTTCTTCAAATACTTGTCCGTTTATTGCTTCCGCGCGCTGCCCTCAATTCAAAAAACGCTCGCCGCTCTATATTTGGCGCAACATAGTTCACGTAAAGTGTTGACTTCGGTTCCTTTGCGATTCAAGCCCATGTATTTGTAAATATAAACTGGTTAACATAACTATTCAGATACTCAATCGGAAAAGCAGCCCAGAAGTGTGTGTACCAATATGGAGGTAACTAATTTTGTTCGCCTATTTAACTAACAAAGACAGTCCCCGAACTCGTAATAGAACTAAAAAAATAAGGAAAATCGGAACAAAATTTTGTTCTGACTCTAACCTGGTACACATACTACGGGAGTAACCGAGCTGGACAGCCTCCTTATCAACATTCCACTTCGACTCTTGTTGTCTGTTCTCATTTTTATACTTTTACATTCTATTGTAGTAATCGCAAATTCAGTCAACCGTTTCATGCAACTAGCTGTTTTTTTACAACTTCCTATTTCCATCGCTACATTTTTCGAATTTTATCACACTAACTCAGGGACGGATCATGCGCTTTAGAGACCCTAGGTACTTTTAGACTTTGGTTATATATATAAATAAAACAAAATTTTTGAGAATAGCATCAGTGGTCATGTGAAATTATGTCTTCTTATACATAGCGATATTGTTTTTGACGAAAAGTCACCTCGCCATATACATACAAGCGTCCATGTTATCAGTTTTGGGGCCTTTAATGAATGCTCCTGTCTACCAGTTCAGTCATCTTTGACTGTCCCTTATTTTATATTGTAGCAATGCAAACTTTTTTAGGTCTTTTATACGGCCCATATTTTGAGCATTTAACTTTCATTTCCGAATCCCGTTATCTGTTTTCCTTTTTATACTTTTACATCTTATTGTTGTAATGGCGAGTGCAGTCAATCGTTTCATGCAACTTCCTATTTCCATCGCGACACTTTTCGAATTTTATTACACTAACTCAGGGCCGGATCATGCGTTTTAGAGGCCCTAAGTATTTAAGATTCTATATGTACAGGGTGGTCGCTAGGAAAAAACAGAAAATTTTTCAAACAACCATTTATTTTTATAAAGAACAACTTTTACAAAGTTTTTTGAAGGCATATGTTTGATGTTTATATATTGATGTTTAATTATATTATACGTACAGAAGCTCAAAATGCCATCCGTGCACTTCAGAGCTTGACCTAGAAGCCAAGCTTGTGTGGCCTTTTTGAAGGTTAACTTGTAAGATATCGTTCCAAGCTCTTTCCAAACTCGTTTTCGAATCATCATTTGTAAATACAAGAGCTACGCACAAATATATGGACACGTTAGACCAGAGCGAATCAGTCCTTACCGGTACCTTTGACGCTACCGGTACCCTCAAAAAAGTTCTGAATTTCCAGTAGCAAGAATTTTGCAGAATCAAAACGTACAGCCAGTCATGACACTGACTAAAATCCGTGTTCCCATGGATAAAAAATAATACAGCAAAATATCAAGCGAAATATCAAATTTCATAGAATTCACGCAAAATTTTGAAATAAATAAAAGTAATAGCCTTCTAGCGAAGAAATTAATCTTTAACCACTGAAAATTTCAAAGCAATTGGTCCAGTATTCGAAGAGAAAAGCGATTTTTTTAAAACGTGTCAAAGAACAAGAACAACAACAACATAATATTGAAACGATCGTTATGGCCACTAAACGTGTCCAATAAATAGCTGTATGACAAATTTTCTGCTTTTCTAACGAGTGCATAAAATATAGTTATAATGAAACTGGCATTATTTTCGAGAATAGTTTTCATACCCACAGAAATGATATTTGAGAACGAAATATAAGCAAAAATTCATCGTCTGACCAACTCGAATAATTTCGTTTAACACCGAGGCGCCATTGAAATTGGCTACGTAAATTTTTGTAGTGTGTGTACCAGGTTAGGGTAAGGCCTTTTTCTCCAACGATTCCCCTCGCGGGTAGCGTAGCGACCGTCCACTGGGTGTAAAGTAGGCGAACAAAGTTAGTTACCTCCATATTGGTACACACACTCCCGGAGCGTCCCTTTCTTTGATGCTCTGAGCACGTGACTTTTCTGCTTAATGGTTGCCCTGCAGTAACTTGACTCAACAATTATTTTGATCTTTGCAATTATATCTTGTTTAGTCTGAAGAAGTTAGACTACGATCTAACGAAAGCTCACTAATATACTTTCGTGATTTTTGCTATTTCGTAAAAAAAGATTATTCTATTCTTGGTAGGCTATACTTCTATTAAAACGTTAGTACGATATATCATCTCAAACGACTGTCGATTTATCTCATGGGGTTTCATCGACAGCATATCATGCTACCAAAACAGAACATGAACGTTTTTTTCAACTGAAATTATACTGATTTAAGCTTTTACTACATCGAGCTAACCGTTCGAATACGTTTGCCACCTCTCCGCCGGGAACTCTTGTGTGCTTTCGATTCCCGAGGGGTAAAAGAAACAATTGAAGGACATCTCGTCGTGCACGTAACCGTTGGTCAATTGTGTCTTTCTGCGCCATCCTAACATTCGAACAGACCAGAATACTATTCGTAACATGATTAAGCGGCGCTCTAGAAGTGTGTGTACCAATTTGAAGGTAACTAATTTTATTCGCCTACTTTACATGAAGTTGTGTAAAGGGACTGGAACCTATGGGCAGGGGATATATTCACTTGGCTAACACAGACAGTCCCCGAACTCGTAATATTACTAAAATAAGGAAATTCGGAATAAAATTATGGCCAGATCCTAACCTGGTACTACACTACCGGTTAAGCATTCGTTCTTGCTCTTCTTTATCTCGCGACGAATAAAAAAATTCTGCCATGTATCGTCGATTTTATGGCTCAGGGTCACGTCATTGAGACGTATAAACATAATGGTAATGGCGCTTTAAATACAGTATTTGGTTTATTTTCTCTTTCGGCTTCAGGTCATGACTTGTAAAAAATGTATCTTGTTTAGTTTCTGAAAACTGAGCTAATTTTGCATCTCTGATATCTAACTCTACAAGTTCAGTCATCTTTAACTGTTCATTATTCGATATTGTAGCAAACTTTTTTAGGTCCTTCATATCAATCAAATCTTTTTTTATAGCCATTCATGAAAAGCACAATAAAATCAAAGCAAGCATTTGTATACAGTCAGGCAGTCTTTGCCTAGCCCTAGAAGGACAGCATAGCCGCGAAATGACCATTCGGTCAACTTGTCAGCGGCATCCGTGAAACAGCTTGAAACTTGTAAATACAAAATATGCATATATGACTCATATTTTGAGTATTAATTAATGAAAGACTTACCAAGTGATGTTCACAAAATTCACAATTCAACGGTTGCTGCATTGTACCAACGACTAACATACCGATTGTACCAAGCTTTGGGAACACTGTGAATTGCTCTGCCGATTGCATGGGATTGCAAGTTTCTATTCCGTGGGAAATGACGAAGTGCGCTCACGGCCTCACGGGGTGATCTACTACGGGTAAGGTTGCGTCAAAAATTGTACGCGAAGATTGCTGGATTTCTTGCCATAGGGTGGTTTACGTAAACTCCTAAGGACGGTTTACGTAATTTCCGATCGATTACAATCAATCAATCAGCATTTATTCGTCAGCACAAAATAAACGTATCATAAGAAACGACGTTTTAAACACAATAAGAAACTAACTTAGGTTTTGTGACAGGAGTCGCGAAAGACCTCGTAAGGTCTTCAGGCAGCGACGCCTAAAAAGCTCGCTGATTCAGGTTGGTGAGCACAAAAAGTTAATGAAACACCAAAACACTTCAAAAAATATTTTGAAAGAAAAGCAGCAATTTTGGAAAACAAAATATTACCAAATATGTATCATGAGTGATTTGTAAAAATAAAACATTCCGGTTATGATCATGTTCTTTAAAATCCGCGACGAAAGCTGCAACTTAATGCATTGTATAAATTCATCAGATACATAAAAATAAATATAAAATAATATACTATATTAATAACTCAAACGGGATCATCTATTGTCCTGATCACTGGCATGGCGCAAGCAAGCAATTGAAAATGGCGCGACGGTGTGGCTCAACGGGCTAAGCGTTGGGAATACGCTCGTCACCGCACCTCTAATTACTCTGCGTGGGTTCGCAGGGTCGTATCCCATGCAGGGATGGTTATGTGCGAGAGGATTGCTAGACTCCTCGTTGTTTGGTGGTTCACGTAACCGCTGGTCGGTAACCGCTAATCGACTTTCCTCTCCCCCGGGATAAATATGTAAATCCTATCCTATCCTAAAATTTGGTTCTCAAAAATACAGACTCCACGCACATCTGGATTTCCCGCAGAACAGACCCCCACATCAAGTCCAGGCATCTGAAACGAATAACTGACTAAATATAATTTTACGCAACATGAATTGGAAAGTTCATGGTTCAACATATGATTAAGCTATCTTATCAACTTTCTTCTCCCAGGCTAAATCAGAAAATCATATCTTATTATTCCCTCTTTCGAAGCACTCCATAGAAAAAATCTGTGGTTGTTTATGACAAGATGCAGGAACTCCAATAACATTTTATTACAATCAATATTTGATTCCCGGATACTGTTTGTTACGGGCTATCTTAGATTCTATACCTCACTTTTGGTCTCTTAAATTGCTTTTTTATAACTCTTTTTTGAGCCTTACTGTGAATCTGATTGTCATATCAGTTATTTTATGTATTTATTGCGGTTTTTTTGTTTTGCTTATGTTTGTTTGTTGTGTTGTTTTTATATGGACCACAGCGGTCTGGAGTAATAAACGAATTGAATTGAATTATTTCGCAGTTAAAAAGTGTCAATGTGTGTATAAAATCGACACAAGAGGCGCTCTCGTTTCCAAGACGACTGTGACGTCAGACAACATCGCCGTGTGCTTGAGTATTCCAGAAAATGCAATGAAATAGCGTTACAAAATGGGTAAAAAAGGTGGTAAAAAGAAAGGGAAGGGCAAAAAGTCCGGGGGAGGGAAAAAAGGCAAGAAAAGCGGCCAGCGCGAAGATGAAATGACACTCCAAGAAGCCGTTTTGGCTTTTCAAATTCAAGTCAAAGAGAAGGCAGTCGAGGACCTTATGTTTGAAATTAAAGGTCTTCAAGAGAAAAATAAAAGGCATCAAGCCAGAAATACAAGGCTTAAGGAAGAACAAGACATACATATTAAAGTTCTTTTGCGTCAAGCTAAGGAACAAGAGACAGAACAAGATAGCAAGGAGTCTTTTACTTGTGAACATGTCGAAAAAGCAATGCGACAGGTCTGGTGGTTGAGTCGCACTGAAGAGCAGCAGCTTAAGAACTTGGAAACAAAAATTAATGGGATTGATAAAGAATATTCGAACGTTTGGGAACAAGTTGAAATGTGGAGAGCGTACCGTGATTCTGGGGCAAAACAACATGCAGATCAAATCCAAGTTTTAGAACTTGAGTTGGAAGACATGAAAAGAAGTTTCGAAGATATTTGTGCACATTTGAAACGTCAACTTGATAATGCAAAATCGGAAGTTAAGTCGTATATGGATCAATGTATGGCTGAACAGCAACATCTTGCTTCCGAAAAAGCAATGGAACAAATGGATAAAATTGGAGTACAGGAAATACATGAAAATGAGTGGCTGAAAACAGAGGCTGAAATTCACAGAAAAGAGGTCGCGTCGTTGTACTCCATTGTCGAAACTTTAGAGCACGAAAACATACAATTAATTTGTGAACTTATAGACTGCCAAGCTGAAGATTTAAAAATTTCACGGACATTTGCAAATGTGGGGTTTGAAGGGGAAGAAACAGATGCAATGGACCGGAAACAAATGTCAATATATAAACCCGGGTATAAAAGTCCCACTGGAACACCGATGCGTCGTGCGATCACTCCGGGAAAAGAAAGGCCACGGAGCGCTATGCAAGCCGCGATAGAGGATAGAGTGTTTTCTATTAAATTCGCTGATGATTCATCTGAGGGAGAAGAGAGTGAAGATGAAGAAAATAAATTGGCACTGCATGTAGATGTGGAAAATAAATTGGAACTGCATGTAGATGATGAAGATAATATTTTGTCACAGCAAGAATACCTTCACCTAGGGCCATTAGAACTCAAACTTCTTTGTGTACGAGGAGAACCAAAACCGATACATGAAATTGACGCTGGTATACAAATTGTCGATGGAACATCTTCTGACTTAACTGTAACTCGCCCAAGATGGCCAGTTTCTCCACCTATGATACGAAAAGCAGTTGAAACACCGTAATTGAATTTAGTATCACTTTTAGGATCAGGGGGCATTAAATTGAACAGTTTGCAATAATAAAATTGCAATGTCACATTATAAAAACACCATTGTGCTCCTGATAATTGTGCCTTCTGTTTTAGTAATAAATGAAAAATAAATAAACCTAAAAATGAATATTTTTATGTTATGTTGAATCCAATTTGTAATCTAATATTGACAACAAGGTTATGCTTTGGAACCCTAAACTACTCAGTTATTCTCTATATATAAAACTCGGAACTGGACGAATTTTCAATTTAGGTATTGCTTTTCTATACCGGATTAATATAAAATTCTCAACAGCTTTTCAAGCTCGTTCTTTGTTGTCTTAAAAAGCCTGTTTTTACTAAATTCATTGGAGTTTTTTGCAATTTTTTTAGGCATACAAGAGCAATAGCGTATTTTGTATATTATGATGCTACTCTTCAAGCCGATACTACCTAACATTGAATAGAGCAGCTACTATCACCCCCCTTTTTGTTAAAATGTAATACGTTCGTTTAAGTGAACATGTTTTTTAATATCCATGATATAAATTTGAATCTTTTCTTCATAAGCAATTATTAGTGATATGTTGTGCGGCAATGTTGCAAGCTGACTATTATTCGTTCTTGTACTGCTGCATCCTTATGTGACCTGTGCCACAAGGATGCTTAAATGAGATGAAGCAGTAAGCTTCTAGCAACTAAAGAGCAGAATATAATCCCACATAATAAAAGTTTTACTAATTTTTCTCCAAAACATAGCATAGTTTATTTATCACCATTAAAAGGAATTTTTCTTCAGGTTCAATGGTGGCTTTGATTTTCAAGTAAATGAAGTAATTCAGCATACAAATTTGGCAACACTCATAGTGTGTGTACCAGATTAAGCCATAATTTTATTCTGTTTTTAGTTCCATTATGAGTTCAGGTACTGTCTGTGTTAGGCAAGTGGATATCTCCCTGTCCATAGGTTTCAGTCCTCTTACACAACTTGATGTAAAGTAGACGAACAAAATTATTTACCTCTATATTGGTACACACACTTTTGAAGCGCCCAAAATTTTTATGCCAGTTCAGTTTTCGTATGTTGGCGCTAAATTCTGCAACAAACCAGCAAATATCGGAGATTGTGGGATTATTTGTTCCCTATTTGCAAGAGTGTTCACTTTCAATAGTTGACTATTTGAGAATTTTCTAAAGCTTTTCTAAATTTAATGGCAATGTGTTGATAACTACCCTGCTTATTGATATTATCTTTATCTGTTACGAGCATAGCATAAGATCCTAGCAAATATATTCATCTTCTTTGTAAAGTAATAGCTAGTTATATATTAATATCTGCTTGTCTAGAGCAGTGGTTCCCAAACCACGGCCCGCGAGCCAAGCATAATGGTTTAATACGACTTGCCCAACTAAAGTGAAATAGTTCAACACTTTATGTCTTTAACCTTTTCGCGTTCTATATTCTGCCAATTGTTATATCATCATCACAGTGTAAGCATGTGTATATCCATACCAATTCTATTATACCAGTATCTTAATTATACGACCGATATTGGCCTCTTGCGAGCTCTCCCTTTTCCTGGCCCGCGAATTTCCTTCTGCTTCTAATTCTGTCTGCTCGTCAATCAACTTTGGAAATCACTGGTCTGAAGCCTTATTCGAAGCTCATAAAAGATTGTACCGGTAAATGTACCAGATTTGTGCATTCATATTTTTCAAAATGTGCCCATTACTTCTAAAAGACTTTCATTTACATTTTCTTAAATGTATGTCCCTTTTTATTGCACTTTCAGTTTAACTATGCTTTTCATATAGATTACCACTTTTTCTGTGTTTTTTTCTCACGTGTCACAACCGTATAATATAACCACAATGCGTTCATTCTGTGCCTTCATGTTGGTGTGTGTGTCCAGCTACAAGCGGGCGGATTCGATTCTGGCGCTATACTTTTTCACACTTCGAATAGGGTTGGGCATTTCGAATCGAATATGAAATTATTCGAATCAGTTCAGAGAAAAATTTCGAATCGCCGCCATCTTCTTTTTTTTCTTTCCGCCAATGGTCGAGCTAAATATCTCATTTTTTTTTATTGAAGCCATATTTTTCCAACGCAATTCAGACATATGACTCTTTTCTGTAGTGAGTTATTCATGAAAACATGTTTTTTATTGTGCGTGAACACTCAGCAATCAGCCTGAGTGATGTATTCTATGTTTTCAGTAATTAATGTGTCTGGAAGACCTATATAATAAAAAGTTACATGCAATTTTATATCTCCAAAGTATTCAAGATTCGATTCAAAAAAAATTATTCGACTCGATTCTGAAATCTTCAGGTTTTCGAAAATGCCCAGCCCCTACTAGGATAGGATTTACATATCTATCCCGGGGGAGAGGAAAGCCGATAAGACGGCTTATCCATATGACGAACCACGGCCTCTCGTCCGGTTACCATTCCAAGTCGGGTATGGGATTAGTTTTACTGTATTGTTTGTTTTCGGAAGCATGGACTTGGTGGTGGAGGAAGCCGTAACCGACCAGCGGTTACGTGAACCACCCAACGACGGCGAGGAGTCCAGCAATCCTCTCGCACATAACCATCCCTGCATGGGATTCGAACCTGCGAACCCACGCAGAGTAATTAGAGGTGCGGTGGCGAGCGTATTCCTAACGCTTAGCCCGTTGAGCCACACCGCCGCGCACGAATCACTCAATTGAAGTTCGCGAATTTCGACTCGTTTGGGTTGTGTGCAGACTGCAGACAATTGCGAGAGTATTCCCGATGTCGATCAGGGACCCTCTCATATTTTTAGGATAAGGATGAGAATTACATATTTATCCCGGGGGAGAGAGAGAAGCCGATTTGACGGCTTAACCATATGGCGAACCACGGCTTCTCGTCCGGTTACCATTCCTTGTCGGGTATGGGAATAGTTAGTTATTTGTTTTTCCGAAGCATGGACTTGATGGTGGAGGAAGCCGTAACCGACCAGCGGTTACGTGAACCACCCAACGGCGGCGAGGAGTCCAGCAATCCTCTCGTACATAACCATCCCGCATGGGATTCGAACCTGCGAACCCACGCAGAGTAATTAGAGGTGCGGTGGCGATCGTATTCCTAACGCTTAGCACGATGAGCCACACCGCTGCGGCAACTTTTAACCAACTTATAAGTTAAGTGAAGCTAAATTAATTTAGAGCGAATATTTACATTGGTTGCCGTGTGTCAAAGTCGGAAACGAAATTTAGATTAAGATTTTTCATATTTAACCTGTTGAGAGGAAAAGCGATAAGGCAGTGGTTCCCAATCTATTATGGCTCGTGGCTTGCTTACATAGGCCCTGTTCAATATTCCAGTGGTATTCATATTGTGAATATGATTGGTAGATTCCAAATCCCATTATTTTCAAACAATTCATGCTCAACAAAGTGAAAACACCCTCTGAAATAACCTTACCAAGCAATGAAACTAGGAAGAACGGGATGTTTTCTTGTGAAGAGTAAAATCAGTTTTGCGCCCAACATGGTGGCCCCTTCCAACTGCTCTGTCAGCCCCGGGCCTCCGGTTGGGGACAGCTGCGATAAGGTTTCTTGTCGTGTTGTCACTCCACGTTGAATATGGTTGGTGTTCGTGAAATTACCAATTCATCGTTTCAGATATAGCAACTAACCCCCAAATGTACCCCATTTCATGTTGAAATCATCGTGACAAAGTTAATTTTTCCCAAAATTCGAACAAAGACTTTCGTAGGAATCAAATTACACAGGTTTAAGAACATAACAGGTTCCATCCATTCAGTATCAAATTAAAATTTATATTCTCAAGATCTTTGGCACTGATTGAAATAATTATATCTAAGTTCCCATCCGTACGATGTACCTAATTACCCTTATTGAGATAATAGGAGTTTCTGTTTATAACGTGAATCACGAGCTCACGTTTACAGCATTTAATTGGATTTATGATCAACGTATAAATACCACTCCGATATCTTTCGATAGAAGAGAAGACGATGTAAACCATTCTAAGCTAGTCTGGATAAATGTTTTAAGATTTATTCTGTGTATTACTGGAAATTTACGAATAAAAACATATAGAGATTTTTAACGCATCTTCATTCACGTGGGCGTTGAAGCTGAAGGGTGAACGGGTGACTTGCAAGTTCTGAGACAATCTACGAAATAGCAATATACGGTAACATCCCATTCATTTACCAATCACATATGCTATACAGATACTTGGACTTAGGTAATGGCGATTTTTAAGTTTATTTCAACTCCATAATCAGCATAATAGACGATAAAATAATTGATTAAAACGGATTGTAAAATCAGGAGAGCAAAGTAAGGTATAAAACGTACATATTTCAGGTTGGAAGGTGTTGTCAAAGGAAGTGGTGCGTGTTCCTTCACACCTACACAAACATACAATCACGAGACATAATAAAATTAGAACAGACAAAAAAAGAAATATAAATATGATACCTAGTAAAAAAATATACAAACAAATAAAAAACAGAAAATTTTTTTTTTTACAACAAAATAACAATTGTGTGACGGTTGACAAACTGGATACCGATAACAGGAGTGAGATGTATAAAAAAAATGTCGCACAACCCTGGCTTAGAATGTGTGAATCACGGCGTGATCGGTGGTTTCCATATGACGTTCTCCTAAAAGACACCGAACTATTGTTCTGAACCTTGTTTGGGTCACGTCTGGAACATTGGTCGTAACAAAAATTTTCATGCGTGCCCGTATGTTAGAGTCGTATGTCAGACTTACAATTTAAAATGTGGCTTCAATAAAAAAAACTCGTAGAATTCACTTCGACGTTTGATGGACAGAAAAAGAAATGGCCGCGTTCCGAAATTCTCGTCTGGACCGATTCGACTTGAAATGTCCAGCTCCAGCAAAAATAGGCTAAGATTAAATTTATTGATTTCGTCAGGTTCACTAAATCAGGGGTTCTCAAACTTTTTGTGTTGCGGAGCCCTTGAAAAAGTTGACTATTATTCACGGAGCCCCAAAATAAATGTTAAAATTGTTACTTTCCGAATAATATTCCTGAGTAAGTTAAAAGTACTGTACTTATTTTAAATGCTAAATCTTTTTTTAATAGGGTTAATACAAGTCATAAATAAATCTAAATGTAAAAGATAAATTATATATACTAAAGCTGTAAATTTGACACTTGACAAACATATTAATAAATTAGGGGTCGGATCTTTTCCCTTAGACATTTTTGATAGACTTAAAAGGCCGCTAAAACGTACTCGATTGCATTTTGTTACGATCGCCGATTGTTTTCGTCAGCATGGCGGTGTTTATTCTCCCTAAATCAAAAATTCCCCCGACAGATACATGTATAGTTCCACAATGTCGACGAGTATAGCTTTTTTGTTCTCGTGGGGAATTATGAGTTCAATGTGAAAAACATGTTACCATATTATAGTCATCGGGGACGAAATGCTAAAAATAATAAATAATAAAGAGGTAAATCCGCAACTCAAATTTCTTGATTGAAAAGCGGCATTCTAAAATATTAAAACTAAAACTTAAAACGGAAGATAACACTATTAGTTTTGTTTCAGCAGACTCACGTCAGATTAAAAACGCTTTCATAGACATTGTAAATCACAAAATTTGGTGTTTTGTTGGGATTTCTTTGGTTATTCGTCGTAGTAACTGCGAAACCGAAACACGGTCAAATGTGCGCGCGATTTTCCCATTCTGAAACTACCGACGGAGCCGCATGCAATGAAATAAATTTCAATCTTTCGTATTTTGCCCCGACCTCATGATTTTTTAAACGGCGATATCTTGCTCGTGAGTGCGAAAGAACAAATCAAGCTTGACAAATCCCAAGATCGCAAAAATACGACTGCAATTTATGCACAGTTTATTTATAGTTATAGCGTATTTCATGGTATTTCAGAATAGTATTCTTTCAATTCAGTAATCCTAATAGTAAAATTAGCCACTTCAGTATTTTGAAAAGTAATCGAATAGCTCGCGGAGCCCCTGGGTTTCTCTCACGGAGCCCTGGGGCTCCGTACGGAGCACTTTGAGCACCTATGCACTAATGACTAAATCATATCGGACATTCTTTCGTTCAATGACATTTTTTTAATGAGTTCAAAATTCTCTATCGAAAATATTATTTTCTCCAGAGTGTAGGTATGGTGATCGGAGTTTATTCCATTATTCACGGTGTGATTTCCACGGCTACACTTACGTTGCGTCAAATATCCTCAAATACTTTTATTTACGCAAGTTAGGCGCAACAGCGTTGTGAGACAATACATGGTTTTCCATCACGAGATTCCATCAGACATTTTCGTTCAATAACATTGTTTTTTTGAAATCAAAATTTTCTATCGAAATATTATTTTCTCCAGAGCGAAGCTATATATGATCGGAGTTTATTCCATTATTCACGGCGTCGTTTCCACGGCTACATTTACGTTACCTGGGAAATTTTTTCAAATACTTTTAGTTACGCAAGTTAAGCGTAACAATTTTTTGAGACGTTACATGGTAACTGTTTCGAGAATGAACGTGCGATCATTTTAGCCTAGTCCGCCCTCTAATTACTGAAGCTAATTGCCCCAGTGCAGCGCGATTCCAAGCGGAAGGCCGGCAAAGCCCACGAAAATTGGCAGAATTGAACAGCCAAAAGCTCAGAATATGCGTCAGGTTTTCTAAATCTCATTATATATACATACTTTTGTCCAGTTCCATTTTTTCTTGAATTTAATTTTTTTTTATCGAATCTACACAGAAGCCCCCCATGGGGGAGGTTTGCGGGTCGAAATACCCGTTCCCTATGGACCCGCTAGATGTTACGGCCTAATTTGGAAGTTAGATATTTCAGACCCTCATTGAAAATTTTTGGCTACGCGCCTGATGTAATATTTTTTCCAAAGCGGAACTATGGCGATCGGAGTTTGTTTTCACTTTCATGATTCGCGACGTCGAATTCGTTGCGTCAAATCTTCTCGAGTACTTTTAGTTCCTTGAGTTACGCAAAGCCGGCGCAACTGTTTTGTGAGACGTAACACGGTAATTGTTCCAAAAATAGACGTGCGATAATTGCAGTTGAGTTCCGTATGTTTCACTCATTCCAATATTTACTGCCGTGTTTCCCCGGAAATAAGACAGGGTGTTATTTCTATTTTTTTTGAAATATAGCTCCAGGGCTTATTTTTGGGTGGATGTCTTTTATTTTCATTTATCAAAAACAAAATTACAGAGTACAGAATTAAAAGATTTTCAAATATACAAATTATGAAAACCGATATTTACTTATAAATAACACGTTTTTATTCAAAATGACTGCTAAACATAGATTATAAATTATTTGAAACGCGTAAGAGAGATTTCTTACTATCGACTAAGTCAAAAAAATTCGTGCTATCGACTAGATCTTATTTTAGGGGGAAGGCTTATAATAAAATAATTTTCAAAATTCAGGGTAGGTACTATTTTCGGCACTCTGGAACTATTCGTATCAAGATGATTCACAAACTGAACAACCCTGACCTGGTACACACACTATGTTCAGGTTGTGCGCCATCTTAGTACGAATACTTCGGGAGCACCCTTTTTTCAAAGCCATTATATAATGGCTCTGCTTTTTCAGACTAGGTCTTATTTTCGGGAAAACACGGTGAATACCTTTGAAACACCTGGTGCTAACTACCAACTACCCGTGGAAGATAAAGAAAGCAATACTTTTATTTACTTTTATTTTTGCGCGTTTTTTTGTCGCGACTGCCATCGGCATGCCCGAAGTCCCGTTTGAGTATAATTGATTTGATCAATGAACATGTATGTATGCTGTTGATTTGATATATGACACATAACGACATTTCATTGCTTAATACAATTTGTTCTCAAAGGCACATATCAAAAACACAAATAAAAAGGCACGGTAAATACATGTGTACGGCCCAAATGAATACAAACAAATAAAGGAATCAAATAAAAGGACCGGGACTGGTAACCAGATGAGAGGCCGTAGTTCGCCATATGATTAAGCCGTCTTGTCGGCTCTCCTCTCCCCCAAGATAAATATGTAAATCTATCTATCCTGAATAAAAATAGACACAGTAAAATAAATCCACGCGTACGTGTTGTCATGGAAGGAGAATCAAATAGCGGCTATGCAGTAGGCCCACTTAAAAAATTCTTCGCTTCCATAATTAGTTACCGAAAACTTAAAGTCATGCTTAGGTCTCAAAACAAGTATATAGCATTTATTATCAATTTTGCTGTTTCAAACTCCTCAAAAAATGTTAGAATTCCCCATTTTATTACATTACTGTTCGGGCTCGTTTACTACAAAGGTGAGCTGGCGCGTGTTTCATATCTTGAACTTTTTGCCACAGTTAATTAGCTTCTTTGAATCTTATAAGAAACACTTGCTTATATTTTATTGCGCAATTTTATTTAGTATAAGGTTCAAAATATCTATCAAATCTATTTTTTTCTATAACTATGGCGAGTTAGGTTCATTTCCTCTTTCCGTGGTTTAGCGTCGTTTCCACAGCGACACTGACGTTGCGTGACAGATTTTAGTTCCGCGAGTTACGCAAAGCAGACGCAACTGTTTTGTAATACGCGACGAGGTTGTTAATTATTACTAAATGTTTTTGTGTTTGTATATTTTCGAGAGAAAGAAAAACGCTGCCGATATATAAATATGTGCGGAAATTGGCTGACACGAGCATTTACTAGTCTAGGTTTTCAGGGCTGGCCAACAAGGATGTTTTCTCACTCAAACGGAAATGCTACAAAAAAGAAAGCACTGATCGTCGTCGACGTTCAGAATGATTTTATTTCTGGATCACTGGCACTGTGTAACTGCCCTTCAAAACATAAGGGGGAAGAAGTTGTGCCGAAAATTAATGAGCTTGTGGAATTGCCGTTCTGGGATTTGGTGGTCTATTCAAAAGACTGGCACCCTCCAAATCACATCTCATTTGTGTCTAACACTCATTTATTTCATCCCCATATGGACAACAAATGTGATCTTACCAATCCTTGCGTTTTTGACCATGTTATTTATGATGTTGATAGCACCGTCGTGGAGCAAGACCTGTGGCCTGTACATTGTCTACAGGACTCAGAAGGAGCTGAATTCCATAAGGATTTGAAAATTGTGGAAGGAGGTGTAGTTGTACACAAAGGCTTGAATCCAAACATAGATTCCTATTCTGCTTTTTTCGATAATGGTCGACGCTCTGAAACTATTTTGCAATCAGTATTGAGAGATAACAGGATTTCAACAGTGTATGTGTGTGGACTAGCGACAGATGTTTGCGTAAATTTTACAACTTTCGATGCTCACAGCCTTGGATTTGAAACGTATGTTATCGAGGACTGCTGTCGTGGAGTACACGAAGAAAATATCGAAAAAACTTTCAAAGACATGAAGGAAGCAGGGATTAAAGTTGTAACTAGTGAGGATGTTCCAAAAAATAAAGAAACTCAGAGCTAATATTGGACTTTTCAATATAATTCCATGTATGATACAATTTCCAGAATTTTAAGCTTGAAAAACTGGGTATCAAGATGAAATATGAAAATCCTAATCTTTCTTTTGTTAGAAAGACTGGCAACTAGGATTTCATAAAATCAACAGAGAATGTTTGAATAATCAACTTTAATAACTTAAACTGATAATTGGATCATAAGCAACGTTATTCGGTTATGGTTAGAATATCTTAGCTTTTTCTATTATACTTTTTATGCAGTAATGAATATGATTTCTTCTGTATATTTGTAATATTTGTTTGTTTGTTGTGTGTACTCTGTATATATTAATTACTTCTTGTGCACTCTCATGTAATATTTTATCACAGCGCTTGAGGTAAAAAAGTTTCAATCTCTAAAAGCAATGCCACTAAGCCTTTTTCTTCACGTTAATAAATATGAATGTTTTCGTTTTTATTCATATATATTTTTAGTGTATCATTACACTTCATGTAATATTTTGTAATACTTCTTCAGGATGAGTTCAATCATTTTCACAAAAAGTAATGTCAGAAATATAAAACTCGACTTGGTTATTGTTATTCTGCCCACTGGCTTCAGGTGTGATTATGTAACTTTGCATGTCTAGTTTAAATTGGCATGTTCCTTGTCTAGTCAGTGGCGTGTCAAGTTTTTCTGCTGCCCTAAACGAGTATCTAATAATGATGCCTGTTATAACTAACTTCGAAAATAATTTTGGGGAAAAACAATTTGTTGTTATACATGAGAATAAATAAATTGAAGGTCAAGTAAGAGTGAAATATTATTATTTAAATCACCAAGCTAATCAACAAACTCATCTTATAACGTGCTGTCTGGGCGGGTTCCTCCTTTCCCCCCCCCCCCCATCTACAGAAACGCCACTGCGTCTAGTCTACTTTGGCATGTCTTACGTCTAGTCTATATTGGCATGATTAAATCTTCCTGAAAAGTAAAAAAGTGGAATATGCAAATTTTATCTTGACTATTCTGTAATATCAATTTTGATTTCGACAATGGCTTTTAATTCAAACATTGTGAACCTTTTTTGGTTCAAAGTTTTCAGCAAATTTTAAATAGTTTTTTGAGTAATTGTCCCTGCTTTTGAAATGTAAAAAAAGCCATTTCACTGTATCATAAATATCAATTTTTCGTAATTTGAAACACTTTTTAGATCCTCACAACTTTTGGAAACCCACACTTTCCCACTCGCTGACTAATACAGTCTAACTCCAATAACAGCAATTTAAAGTTTCAGAACCCCCTCTCTCTGGCTACGCCCCTAATCAGACAGATAACCATGTTTCACTAAATTATTGAATTGTCCAATCATCTATCCCAGTGGTTCTCAACCTTTTTTCTTTCGTGGCCCATTTGCGTTGCACAAAAATTTTGTGGCCCACTAAGTTTTTCGTGCTGGGGGGGGGGGGGAACTCCACGGAAAACATAGAATTCTTCCTGCAAAAGTAGACACTTAACACTTTCACTTTAATAATAATTAGGTGAAAATTACCACCCTGTAACAAAAACATGATCATCCATTTCTATTACCATCAAATTTAACTAACCTTATCAGCAGCCAGCAATTTTTAATCGGTCTTTGGCCCACTGAAAATGTTCCTGTGGCCCAGCAGTGGGCCATGGCCCACCGGTTGATCTATTCTCTCCCATAGGCTTATTGGTCCAAATTACTAATGCTCTCATACCCATATAGGAGCTACTGTTGTATGCCACTTGCTTAACATGTTCTCGCCACATAATAAAATTCTCATAGAATTCAGTTCCTAACCGTGATTAAAATCCCGAGATCACCCAACTGCGAGACAGTATACCAAAGTGTAGCCAGCTCCAAATTTTAAGGGGTGGGGGGGAAATTTTTTTGTATAATGACCTAAAAAGATGCCCACACGTGCCTTTTGCACCGAACAAAGCCAGATAAAGTAGCCCCTGATATATCTGCATTTAAAAAAAAATTGGGGGGGGAGGGGGATGTCCCCTTATGCCCCCCCTATTACTATAGTAGCACCCCTCATAGTAATAATATATCATGCCGCTTAGATTTCTTATTTTTGTGTCTTGTGTATTTTCAATATATTCCTGTATTATGTAGTATTAGTATTATAGAACAAGAAGAAATATGTGGTTTTATTTCTATCCTCACATGCTTTTTCACATGACGAGATGGTTCCCGAAGAATAACAGAGTAAAATTGTAAGTATTTTTTGGTAGGCTATTCATGTAGTATGTGAACCAAGATGACGGACACCGGAATGTTGTACGTGTGCCAGGTTATGGTTAGGCTATAATTTCAGTAACAAATACTACGAAAGTCACTTTGCTAGTCTCTGAACTCGTAATAGATCTCCTAACATGGTACACATGCTACGCTCCAGTGTCCGCCATCTTGGTGCACATACTACGGGAGCATGGTATTGATGGAATGAATCTAAAGTCTGAGATATTTTTTATCCATCTTATTTTAACTTTGATAAACAATTGACTAATGCAGTTTTTTTGTTGTCATATTTATATAATTTTCATCCTTTAATAGCTGCAATACGCCATTATGGTGTCACAGCTAGATAACTTCTTGAGGTTTTCTGTGACTCCCTTTATCTGTGAATAACAAAATACTTTGCTCCTGTTTGTAAATGTGTCTTTAATTTTAACATGGTGGTGAATATATATTACTACTACTACTTTGAACATAGGATAGGATTTACATATTTATTCCGGGGGAGAGGAAAGCCGATAAGACTGCTTAAACATATGGCGAACCACAGCCTCTCGTCCGGTTACCAGTCCAGGTTTGGGTATGGAATTAGTTAGCCAGTTATTTGTTTTCGGAAGCATGGACTTGGTGGAGGGAGCCGTAACCGACCAGCGGTTACGTGAACCACCCTACAGCTGCGAGGAGTCCAGCAATCCTCTTGCACATAACCATCCCTGCATGGGATTCGAATGGGATGCTATCCCACAAAGGGTAATCAGAGATGTGGTGGCGTGCGTATTCCTAACGCTTAGCACGATGCGCCACACCGCCGAGCAATTTGAAACAACTTGAGACCCTCTTCAGTAGGCTTTTAGCACTTGTGGCCCTTTGTTTATCATTCCAGTGGTATTTATAGTGATATTTTGATTGGTAGGTTCCAAATCCCGGACCTCCTGAAGTATGCGCATCAAGATGTCGCACAACCTTAACTCGGGTTGTGTACCAGGTTAGGTTTCAGGTTATGTGACATCTTGGTGCGCATCTGAACTCTGGTTGTGTACCAGGTTAGGGTTCAGGTTATGTGACATCTTGGTGCGCATACTTCAGGGGTACCCAAATCCCATTATGGTCAAACAATTCATGATTAACGAAGTGAAAACACCGCGAGCAATAACCTTATCATACAATGAAACTAGGAGGAACGAGGAGTCTTCTTGTAAGAGTGAAATCATTTTTTGCGTGGCATTGTTGCCCCACTTCGACTGCTCTGCATTTGAAAACCGCTATGCTCGTATCTTTGCAAAAAAGTGATGCTAGTTGTTGCAAAAACTTTAATGTTATGAATTCAATATTTAAAATGAAGAATTTTTGCTCTCATCCCTGTCTTTGGCAGGTTTGATGATATACCTATTCTATTATCAAACAAAATAGGGGGCTCCCAAAGTATGCAAACCAAGATGGCGGACATCGGAATGTAATATGTGTACTAGGTTAGGGTTAGGCCATAATTTTAGGTATAAATACTACGGGAGGCTCTTGGCTAGTCTTCAAACTGATAATAGGACTAAAATAAGGAAAATTGGAAAAAAATTATCGCCCAACCCTAACCTGTTACCCATGTTACGTTCCGATGTCCGCCATCTTGGTTCGCATACTTCGGGAGCACCCAAAATAGGGTGTCCATAAATCCTTAAAAAAAAATTAAAATTGCAAAGCTAATTTATCAATACCATATATAGCCTAGTTTTAGCTCTCACAGATGTATTGAATGGAGTAAAAATACTTGAACAATTACTGATTAAAAAACAATAAACATGGTTGAGATAGATTGAGAACTGACTTCATAACAAAATTGAAATTGTAAAGGGGATTTATTGATACCATATATTGTTTTAGCCCTGATAGAGTATTAAATGAAGTAAAAATACTTAAACAATTACTGATTGAAACAACAAACCTGGTTAAGATAGATAGAGAACTTACTTCATAGCAAAATTGAAATTGTGAAGGGGAACTTATGGACACCCTGTATATATATATATTTGTGTTTTTTGCATGCATAAGTGTAAATTAATTAACACTGGAGATACTTCAATTTCGGAAAAGTAAAACAGCCACTGATTGATTGTGACTTTATGGACACCCTGTATTATTACTTATCGATCTTAAGATCGGTAAGTATATTGATAGGTATTTGTATGTATGTCTGTCTGTCTGTGTGTGTGTGTGTGTGTCTGTTAGATGCACGCGATATCTCACGAAAGCGAGATTGAATCTGCTCCAGATTTTGCATGTGCATTCATCTTATCTCGGACCAGAAGCCTATTGATTTTGGGCGAATTATGTCGTATAATTAGCGAGTTATCAATCAATTATTGATATAGTGATCTAGATTTTTGTAAAGCGAGAGAATTTTGAAACCCGCAGAGTGTGTGTGTGCGATGCACAGTGCGCAAGTTACAAGAGCGGATGAATCGAAACTGCAGTTTCTGTTTTGGGGGATCCCCTAACTATCGATCGATAAGTCTTCGGTTTCCAACCGATATTCTCGTTTTATTCTTGTTTTGTAAAGTTGAAATATTAATTTCATAAATTTTATTTTCAGTCGGATACTTGCACTCATTATTTCTTTGTCTTTGTTGATTCCCGAGTTGTATATTCTGTTGCTGCCAAGGTCGGAACGAGCGTGCGAACAACCCTTGCTTTCTATATTAGTGGCCAGCACTATTTTCCTGTTCTTCACTGTCGGTAAGGGAGATTTGATTGTTGTAATATCAGTTTAGTAAATAGTTGCTCAAGGCAGGGGTGTGTAACCCGTGGGCCAAATACGGCCCTCGGGGAAAATTTATGCGGCCCAACCAATTTATCTATGATGTTACAATGCCCAACAGCTTGATTGTGCGATGAGAACAACGCATGTCACAAAATCAATAACCAACATTGTTATGCCTGCAACTACTAGATATATAAAGGTGCGACGCACGGTTTTACCCAGTTATTTGTATCTGGCCCTCCGGTAGTGAAGGTTGCACATCCTTGGCTCAAGGCAAAAAGAAAAGAAATTGATTTGGATGGTGGCTGGTGAATTCAGTGAGGAAATGTTGCGCTTGAACTACCAATTTTACCATGAATCTGACTTTTTAGGTTCAAGCTTTTTTGGTTCAGCATTGCCGAACTAATTTATTACAAACTGGGTGATATAGTGCAGTGATTCTCAACCTTTTTTTCAAGGTACCCAAATTTTTTAAAAGATAATTTTTTGTAAAATCTCGAGACACAAGGATATGTTTAAATACTAAACGACATGTAGTACATTTTGACAGCAAAATTACGGTAAATGACTAATATAAACAATCATTTTTATATAACATTTATTTCCCCACAGTAACTTTTAAGTTTTTGTTAAAGAAACAAGCGACCCAAGAAAATTCCAAGATGGCCCAGTTTTGGGTCGTGATAAGTTGGGAAACACTGATGTATGTATGTTTATTCGTCTCGTAAAAGCAATATAAAAGAATTAGTAATTATAAATACTGAAGGCAGGACGTATGCACAAGACCATACTGGCCTAAAACACGAATGAGCGGCATACACCCCTTTTGATATGTATAAATTATAATAAGGTAAATCAAATACGTATAATATGGTCCCTTATACAGACAGTTGTGCAAGGAGGGTGGGTGTGGTAACAGAGGTAACAGAGGTAACGGTGGAGTATACATGTCCCTGATATAATGGACATGTGCATTCTTGGGAGCTTCGTGGGTGAAGCGCTATAACTTTGCTATGATGGCATCACAGATTACAAATTTCTGGTTCAAATCACATACCCGCCATCTCGTCCAGGGTGTGATAAATTGGGGAGGCACTGAGGCAGTGACAAATCAATTTAGGTCGTTATAAATAATAGCAGCTTTTCATACGGTCACATAATCACTTTCTTGTACAGGCCTTGTTCGGAGCAAAAGTCATAAATAAGCGTTAAATTAAAAAGAATATTTATTTTTGGCTATCGTGACTCTTTTATATATTACACAGGCTTTGGGACTCTCTTCACTTTGTTTGAGCCGATACCGAGAATAGTGAATTTGGCGTTTCACATATTCGGAATCCTTTCCTTCATTCTTGGGCTTGTAACAACAGTTTATACGTTTCAAGCTACTGCATGTGTAAGTATTCGAATTATATTTAAAATTATCAATTAATAGTCTTTTCAATATTCTCATTATTATCCTGGGGGTGAAGAAAGCTATAAGACGGCTTAATCATATGGCGAACCACGGCGTTTCGTCCGGTTACTAGGATTAGTCAGCCAGTTATTTGTTTTCGGAAGCATGGACTTGAGGGTGGAGGAAGATGTAACCGACCAGCGGTTATGTGAACCACCCTACGACGACGAGGAGTCCAGCGATCCTCTTGTACATAACTATCCTCGCATGGGATTTCAACCTGTGAACCCTAATTAACCTAATTCCTAATGCTTAGTATGATGCGCCACACCGCTGAGCCTATAACATGCCCATCAAAATCAGCTTGTAAGATGGTTTGCTTCGGAAAAGCCGTATTGAATGCAGAGAACACTCAGCACTTCATATAAGACAGAGTGTCCAAAAAATTTTGCTCGATCTTATAGTATTAACAATCAAAGTTTAAATAAATTTTATTGTATGATAAATGAGAACTACAAGCATAATAAGAATTGTTTATAAACACAAAGACAAAGATGTTTTCAAGTGTTCTCACTATGAACTCGGGCAAAGTTTTTTAGACACGCTGTAAATGAGTATAAGTTCATTTTGACTCCATGATCAGCATATCAGGGGATAAAATAATCAATAAAAACATTTAGAATTTAGATTCTACCAAATTGTACCAAAAATTTGATTATCTGTATTCTAAAAAGTGATAACTAGATAATTTGGCTGGCATAGGTGAAACACCCATTTTATATATTCAGATCCATAATTCAATTCATGCTTTCACTTAGACAAATATTTACTCTTGCCATGTATTGTATAGGACTGGTATTCGTTTGCCTTGTCAGATTATTTGTTCTGAGCACACAGGCTTTTATATTCTTTGAGTTCTGGATGGATGAACACTCAAAATACAGAGCTCAAGCTTAATTGATGTTCAGTCTCGCTTTTTTCACTTCCAACCTTATCATGTCTCGATGATTGTGTGTGTGCGTGCGTCCTTTAATTTATTTTTATACTTTTGGGTGAGCGAACACGTACTACTCCTCTTATCAATACCTTTCCGTCCAAAATACCTTTCCATCCAAAATCTGAACGCTCAAAACCTCACTTGAGGTTTTGTTTGCTCTCCCGATTCTATAATCAGTTACTTTATCATTTGTTTTTATGTATTATTTTATCGTCTACTGCTGATTATGGAGTCGAAATAAACTTATAGGCCTTACTTATTATTGGTCTATAATGTATTTGCAATGGCGTTACAACCCTTTGCATTGCCCAGAATAATGATATATATTTACTTTGTTGCTGTTTACTATGGTTATGCAGCTTGGTATTCTGGGATTTCTTGGCCTACTGCTTTAATCACTCAGCCATTAATAATTTGAGTTTATTAAACAATATTTTTTAGTCTGAAACAACTACAGAACTGTACTATTGGTGTTATGTCAGCACAATATTAACTCTCATATGCACAGGTAAGTTGTGTCACTGTATGTAAGAATAATAATATAGACACAGTTTCAGGCTTATGGCAAGAAAGCTAACAAGAGAATAATTATTTTTTGAATTTGGTAAATTTAATGGTATTTTTTAAATTCGAATTGGAAATTTTTTTTTTTTTTTTTTTTTTTGAATGGTCAATTGTTCTAGAATTCTTTCATGCAATATATTTTGATTCTGAACATTTCGAATGGATTATTTTGCACAATCAGTGACAATCTGAATTTTTGAATCTGATCTTTTCTAATAGCATTTTTTGGTTGTAATGAACTAAACTGCTTTCGATTTGGATCTTGGCATGAAAAGAATATGCACCAGGATTTGAATAGCCTTATGAATGAGCCTTTAAGTTAAGATAGGATTTACATATTTATCTTGGGGAGAGGAAATCTGATAAAATTGCTTAACCATGTGGCGAACCACGGCCTCTCGTCCGGTTGCCGGTTACAAGTTTTGAGGTTGAATTATGCTATGCTGTTTTCCTCATCACAAAATACTTGTAGATGAGTTTCCTCCACTTGGCTCCTAGCGTCTGCAGTTACCTCAACAAAACTACTGTTTGGTCACACCTTCTCTCACTATACAAGCATCTGGAACAATTACTTAGTGAAGTATTACCATGTCTGAAATGGAGTGTTAACTGAAAACCTCTGCCAGGTTCCAGTCTCCAGGGTTGAATATGGAATCCCACTACTAGGGCCGGGCATTTCGAATCGAATTGTAAATTATTCGAATCGATTCAGAGCAAAATTTCGAATCGCCGCAATCTTTTTTTTTTTTTTTTGCTAATGGTCAAGATAAAAAATTTTCAATTTTTTTTATTGAAGCTGAAGGACCTATTACAATAAGAAAGTTACATACAATTTTTTATCGACCAAGTATTCAAGATTCGACTTGAAAAAATATTCGATTCTGAAATCATCAGGTATTCGAAAATGCCCAGCCCTACCCACAAGTCAACTAAAAATTATTCATTCAAAACAACTCTTTTTCTTTTCAGGTTACTTCGTACTTGTTGCACCGTTCTGGATAATTGAAGCTTGGAAACCTTACTCTGTCCTTCATGAGAAAGCAAGACAAGGCATCTGCTATGAACCTACATTGTGCTGCTCTTGTTTATGGCATGTAGTGTGAGGATAAGGGGGGACTGAGGGGCTTTTGGGACCCAAAGAGTGGGTGTGACAATAAGACTATGTTTTCTCTTAATTTCTAAAAGTGTTCCATCGCATAATTGATTAATTTTTTTAACATGATTTTGTACCTATCCACTGTAAAAATGGTCTAAGCAGTTCCCTTTTGTATCGAACTTCTTCATGGGAAAACCAAATAAGGAATTATGGTCATGGGGACTTTGGGAATCACGAGAGCATGCGTAATATTTAGTCTAGGGCTTTTGATTTTTTGATAATATAAAAGTCTATAATTTGTAATTGAATTTACAGTTTCTATTCACTGTAAAAAATAACGATAGATAATGGATGAAATTGATATTTTATGAGCAGTTTTACAGAATATGTTTTGGAAATTACTAGGATTTCGCTATGATAAAAAAAACTCAAGTTATTCAGAATTATTTACGGTAATCAAATTTTTTGTCAATTTAGGGTTATCTCCACAAACCTACCTTTTAAAAAACTAATTCAATCCATTTTCTTATTATTAAGTAACCCCTAAGGTTCCATTACATTTGAACCCACGACAATTTCACCTGTATACTATTGCATATTTTTAAACGCAGTATTTTTCTATAATTTTTTTTATTTTTATCAATATACCGAAGTCTCAATGCTAAACAGATGGTACTATCTTGTTATTGCACCACAACTAATATTCTGGTCCGCTCCATCTCCCACCCTGTTTTAGATATGTTAAGAAGAAGTTATTGCCCACCTTTCTTTGCTCAGGTCACAGTGGTTCTCAACCTTTTTTCTTCCATGACCCACTTTCGTTGCATAAAACTTCTGAGGCTCATTACCTTTCGCATGCAAAGGATAAACTAAACAAAAAAATTCTTTTCCCAAAGACGTACTAAAGTATTCGAATATCTTTTTGGCTGATTTTCGAATGGTAGCCACTTCTCGCCGTAAACACGGTTTTTCGCTTTTGCGGGAATCTTCAAACGAAGTTTTGCGCTTTGTCGCATATTGTAATGACAATAAAATCGGCACTAGGGTTGTTTATATTCTGTGCAAGCACGTTTGTGTGGTGGACATCGCCGCTATTCCCCCACACTGCTTCTAATTTACACATTCATTTTCATTACGTACAAAAATTGAAGATTATTTTATGTGGTAATTGTTATGATACCCAATAAATTATCGCAAGTCGGAAAAACAAGTGAATTTATTAGAAAAAATAATTCATACTATTTCCCGCTTTTTGGCGAATAATTTTGTTAATGATAGATAAAAGTTTCGATTTTTTACTAGGATGATTTTGTGTTGAGCAAAATATTCATATCCATGACCGATACCAGCATAAAATTATTATAAGGTATTAATTTAGTTATGTTTAACGTAACTTACTTATGGTTGCGTCCACAATCTGTGAGCATAAAATATGTGGTAAACTGTCCGATATTATTAATTTTTGATTCCTATTTTGATTCGTATTTACAAAATAATAAAAGTGTTATGATATTACTTTGTAATACTACGGGGATTTGTGGACATAAAATGTGTTAAAGTGCCCGAATATAATTAATTTAGATTCATATTCACAAAGTAATAAATGTATTATTCCTCCTAAATACAAGGGCGATTTGCATACTTAAAAACGTGTGGCAAAGCGCCCGAATATAATCAATTTTGATTCATATTCACAAAGTAATAAATGTATTATTTCTCCTAAATACAAGGGCGATTTGTGGACCTAAAATGTGTGGCAAAGTGCCCGAATATAATCAATTTTGATTCATATTCACAAAGTAATAAAAGTATTATTACTTCAAAATACAACGGCGATTTGTGGACTTAAAATGTGTGGCAAAGTGACTGAATTTAATTAATTATTGATTCGAATTTTCACGAAAAAATTGTCCCAAGTCTGAAAAATAATTTATACTTTATTCAGCTTTTTGTTAAATAATTTGAATAATAGTTGAAATTTATAAGTATAGACTTTTTACTAGGATGAATTTGTGTTGCGCAAAATATTCAAATCCATGACCGATACCACTCTTTCAATACCTTGCCGTATTAATTTGAATCTAATTTAAACGTAACTCATGGTTGCGTCGAAAAAAAAATGAAATGAAAAAAATGAAAGCTTTACTATTCTAATATATATATCGCAGTAATCTGTGAATATGAAAAGCCTGGTAATATAGCCTGTTATTCCATTGTTTATTGTATGCAAATTCTTTCATATACAATAGATAAGTGTATTTTACTTAATTTTATTTTCGAATGTACTCTAAATAGTGAACTCTTCGGTATTGGCCATCCCTGGCGTGCAACTACTGTTAAGCCTGTGACAAATGAATGTGCAGTCCGCGATTTCATCCAGTAATTTGTATCTGGCTTTCCTGTATTGAAGGTGCACACCTCTGGCTTAGTAAGGCTTGGATAGTAACCCAGCCTGGGTATGATCAATGACTTAGTGATGGGACAATATCAGGACAGTAACCAGCTTCTAATTTACTTTGCAAGTAGCAACACACTGTCTCTTCTTTCCACTGTATTTTTCATTTCACATTTTTAGTTTGAATACACTGAATGCACCTATAATGATTTTTATGTTGTTGTGCATGGTAGTAATATGAGTGACATAACTTCTAATGTGTTTTGCAACTTTAATGTGAATATCAGTGGGATTACGCAAGGCTAACTATCTTTCCTTGCTCTATGTCTTTGTGGAAGTGAATCTGTATGCGTGTAACGCAATGATGCCAAGAGTCTTGTTGCACACTAACACAAATGTATTTCTGTAACATTTCGCCTGACTTTAGTTTGAATTCAAGAAGATTTATTTGAGTTAAAGCTAGTCGGTTAGCAGTCGACGAGTCTTGCTGCACACTAACACAAATGTATTTCTGTAACATTTCGCCTGACTTTAGTTTGAATTCAAGAAGATTTATTTGAGTTAAATATAATTTACCGAATCATTCATTTATTGTCACACCAATGACATTAAACAACATGATAGGCAACTCTGACGTCACTCCATAAGACTACAGGCAAAACATTGTATTTCATGATACGCTCCAATGCACATATTTCTCGTCGCCTTTCGCGTCCGTTTTCCGCTCGCTTTTGCTACTCGGCGTCTTTTTTACGTGTAGTACCTGCCTTTTTGCGCCTGTAACAAAACAAAATAATCTCTATATCTAAGAAGTTTTGCTTACTTGGAAAGCTGGAATAACAGGCAAGCTGTAAAGAGCAATTCTGGACATCATAGACGTTTTTTTTTATCAGAAAAGATTACAAACGCGATAGCGGAAAGATTTGTGTGGAACATTTTGCAGATAATGACAAAGTTCAAAGTTAGTAATTTTAATGTTTGCGCTTAATCATTGAAATTTCATTTAAAGAGGGTGTGATACAAACCTGTGCTGCGATACAATTCCATAACACAAAGTTTGCACCTATCGAACTTGCTTTTGTAGGTGAATTTATTAGACATATTACATATTCAGTTAATCGTAGGTAACATTGCTGGTACATAATGCATCGTAGATAGGTTTGTTTAAATTTAGGAATTTAGCTCATAGCCCACTAATTAATATTATCTTCTATGCAGGAGGTTGCAGGGCTGAATTCAACTTGCAGCCTTACCGATCACCTGACGATGCTCATTTAGTTTGGCTCGAGCAAGTCTTCTTGAAATGCTTGTGTGAATGGAAACTACCTATATTTTTTGCCTTCCTCCGATTTTAGACAAATTTATTCTGAGGGATTTCGCATATAATTCTCACTGATTGTTGGCTGTTTATAATTCCTATTGATTGTGAATTCTGATTATAACAATGAGTTGAAAATTTTTTTACCTAATTTACTGGCACCTTTTTCTTGTCAATACTCCAAGCTGAGGTAATAAACATGACAATACATTTATGTCATCTGGAAGCAAAATATGCACACAAATTAATAGTTTGGCACATTGAGATAATACATCATGACAGAAAATACAAGTTAAAGATATGTATGACCATCACATGGTAATTAAAATTAAAAAAAATTAATAGGGGCTGTGGAGTATGGAAAGTTCAAGACAAAGAAAAGAACAAATGTTCATAGCTCATGAACTCTCAATTTTGCCTCCATTGCTTTGTGAAGGCCAATATATTTCGAGTGGCTGAATTGGTTTACCTCTATGATAGCAACGATTTTGTATTTAATATAGCGAGATTATTTCAATTTAATTGAAGTGATATAATTTCCCAAAGCAATGCTTGAATCGTCTAGAATAGATCAGTGGTGTCAAACTCATGGGTTTTCGAGAGCCGCATTGCATTTTGAAAATTGTAAAAAGAGCCGCAAACAGTTTTTGATAATGTATACTTAAAAGATATTTTTAAGATAGTTTTATTTTGTGACATATATTGTGATGCAACTAAACAGTTGGATTAAGTTTTATTATTTTCTTCAATTTCAAATGCAATTACATATTAATATTTGCATTCCACTATTATTGCAACATTTGCAAGTTACAGTATTCATTATAAAAAATCGTAAAATTCTATGTACAACCATCAAAATCATTTTTGAACAAGCTTTGAATAAGGAAAGAATAATACATACACTAAAAATAACTTAATCTAAATATATGAACCTAAAATTAACAAAAATACTACAGTATAAACTCAATGTTTTAATAATTACATTTGTCCTGGCGTTTGGCATCTTTTTTGTGTCACCAGCATACTAAGGCCAGTCTGAAATGATTTTATAGTACCAACTCTAACTAACGAGGCCACATGATCATGGGTTTATCTGGATCTTTACGAATGTTTAATTAATTCCAGTAATGCAAAAAAGTTACTTTTATCATTTCATGTATAGATCAGTAAAAAAACAAATGACAGATTTTTTCGACAAGACATTTCGCACTACATTGCGTGGCATAGGATTGCTTGAATTATTATTGATATTGATTTTTAGTAACTAAGTCGTTGTATAATTATATTAATATACAAACACATGAAAATTTTCTGTTCGAAGTTGGTCTTCGAATTTGTCATATTGACTGCTGAGCTTATTGTGTTTTTTGATTGTATTGATGGAAATATGACAAATTAAACAATGTGCTTCAGAATTTTGTGAAGAGCAGAAATGTTACAACTCCCATTTTCTTCGAAAATGCCACCTTCTTCGTGTACTTTGCGTTTAATTTAATTACTCAAGTGTTTTATTCAAGTATTCTTTTGCTAGCTTGATGTGTATTCTTAATTGGGTCAAAATGTGGACAAAAAAATTAATATTCCAAAACTACTTTCAGTAAATTGTTTTCTGTGTGAATAATCAATTTCACTTTAGAAGGTTTGAAAAATCTATTACATTTAGATAAAAAAAAACTTCCAAAATACTATTACAATTATTGTTAAGCGTTCGAGGGCCGCACTGGAAGTTCTCTGGGGCCGCGAGTTTGAGATCCCTGGTCTAGATTGAAGTTGTTCAAAAAATATATTATAGTATTTTATCATGAATGATGATTATACCCCTTTCGGAATTTCTTCTATAGTACTACCAAAAGTTGATGAACCAAATATAACACAGGTGCAGTGAGGTACCCGTAATCCTCATTTCCAAAGCTGTTTTAAGTATGTCTGGCGTGTTTTGTGCCTTTTTACAAATAAGACCGCTGAGACCCTGCAGGATGTGGGGGCCATACACAACTCTACCGGAGGGTCAAATGTCTTTGCATGCCTCCATAGGTTGTTTTTCTATTGCAATTTTCTATTTTCAATTGCATTATATTTCTTGGAATCACACTGTCACTGATATGTCGCCAGACTTCTGATATCTCCACGTCTGCTAAAGTTGTCCTGTGAATAAATAATAGGAAATTGAGATTAGACGAATAGTTGAAAGTTTTGTCTTATGTCGGCTTAATTTCTTGATTGATATACTTACTATTTCTGCTATTGCCTCTTGTGCTGCAAGAGTCTCACAATGCTTAGACAGGTTTGTCCACAACTTTCACAACGGAAGAAAGAGAGGAGATTTATTAATTTTCGTTAAGAATAAATAAAGCAGTCTATATGATTCAGAATGGAAAAGCTAATAAATCCAATATCTCATGTTTTATTTAAAAAATATTTTACTGAATTTTGGAAAATAAACCAACTAATAAAAGGGTTTAGTCAGAAAATTACAAGCATTCGTGGCTCCAAATACTTGAGAAATCAGACTATACAATATAGACCGGTATGAGTGAAATGTTAGGTGAACTTGTTAACACTTTGATTAAATACGCAAATAAAAGTGAATGCGTAATAGTATGTTACAATGAGCAGCAATCAACAATGAGTATATATCCTCACTGATTAAAAAAATCTAACTGGAGGTGCATGAACTATTTGAAACCATAAGGAGTAAGTAAATATGTAATTTCGGCAAATGGGCAACTACGTACCGTACTGAATTAATAACTTCGTAGTATTTGACAAAGGCTGGCTTTCCCACATGTACTTAACAGTGCGATGCCCGGGTGTGATATACAACAATAGTATTCACCTTACCTTTTACCGATTTCTTTTTACCCCAACTTTCAAAAATATCATTAAAATCGACAACAACTGTCAAAGCAGGCACGAACACCATTCGTGCTACGCCTTGAAAGCAGCACACATCCGCTCGTTTTCGTCTCGTCAAGTATGTGCATTGGAGCGTGCTATCGAATACGATCTTCGGACAAAAATGCCGGAGTTGCGCATCATGTTGTTTAATGTCATTGGTCACACTGAGCGAGTTGTGTACAAAAATTCTCATTTCTAGAAAAGCTATCGCAGTTATGGCTCACCTGGCTAAGGGCAATTAGCTCATTTGATTTGGCAAAATTGTAGATTTGACAATACATGACTAAGCTCTAGTCTGGTTTTCAAAATAAAAACACTCTAAAGTTTCAATGCTAAGTGAGGCGGATTCACAAGCTTTGCTATAGCTCACCAAATCTGCAGTATTGCGATTTTTCTCTGATGGCCCAGGAATTTCTAATTTCCAAGTTAGAGCCTATCAGCTAGGAAAACGTTGATTTTAAAGTCTTGAGGGTCTGAGAAGCGTTTCAAAGAAAGCGAAAAATTGCTGTGTATGATATAGAAAAATGCTTTATTTACATTTCTAGGGGTGGGGTTTCGGGGTCTGGTATAGTTTAGTACCACATGCACTTCTAGTTGGCCTGGCTCAACAATTTTTGCATATGTCAATCCTAACCCTCACCTGACTACGTCACCCAAAAAATACGTCATTTCGACGTCACAGTGGTGTAAGAATGCCCACTAAAGTATGCGAATGGTCGTCCAAAACGCGCAGACGAGCATCCGAAATCGAGCAAGCTATCTCTCTCGTCACAACGATCACGATAGGAGAGAGATCGCCGGCTTTAGCGAGTTCGTTATCGGCGGCCCAGATGTCATTTCGGGCGATCGTAATTATACTTTGGCGAGACCTATGACGTGATGGCGACGTCGTAGTGACGTAATTTTCGGATGGCATAGTCAGGTGGGGGTTAGGAATAACATATGCAAAATTCGTTATGCTACGCCCACTGGAAGTACCTGTGGTACTAAACTATACTAGACCCGGGTTTCGATCCCCCTGTCCAGGGAACTATAGCGGCTCTTCCCCTAATCAAGCAATCATTCTTAGATTATCCCTCAAACTAATACGCAAATCATCGTAACACAGAGAAAAGAGTATGGCAGGCAGGCAAGTTTGTTCTAATTTTGCGATTCCCGACTACGCGCAAGAATGCAATTATTAGCTCACTAAAATGCTCTTGTTCAACTAAAATGTCGTCTATCCAGACACTGGAATATTGGGGCCTTGCATAGGTGAAACCTGTGAAAATGAAGCCAAATTAAAAGAACAGCCTATCGGAAATTGGCTACAGCCCTACAATGCCTGGTTTATATTTGACATCTGAAGACTGCAATACCCAGAACTGCTAACCGACCAGCTTTTTAATTCAAATCACACATATAGTTAATCTTACCTTCATTCTGCACCAAAATAAGTTCTTTTTTGATTATTCAATACAGACGCTGGAGAAATAGAGCATTTGAATCTTTTTAACTGGCATATATACACCCCATGAACTCCAATGACCAGCCATCCTATAAATTTAAAACACACATATGGCTAACTTGTCTTTTATTCTGCACCAAAATGATTTTTTACACGGATATTTCAATACAGACACTGAAGCAAAAGAAGAGTATTCAAATATTTCACAACATATATAAACCCTGAAACAATTTTTATTCTGCCCCTTCAAACAACCAGAAGGGAACCAAAGGTGTGAAATATCACACAATTCAAATGTGGAGGCCCAAAAAAGTTTAATAACTAATATTTATTGGACATATTTCTATAATATTAAACGAGCATCAAGATTTGTACATTTGGACTTTATGATTGATCTTTTCAGGATTCTTATATTGACAGTAAAAATGCAGACTCCAATTCTTTTAAAAGGGGGTTGATGATTATATCCCTAAACCTGCAGTTTTCCCTTGTTTTGTTTATATATTGTACACATGCACCCTGTGAACTTTGAACCCTAAAAAAACTCTAAAGGTGGGAAACCAGCCAAAAACTCCAAAACATGCATAAAATGTCACACTATTAATAACAAGGACCCAAAATAGTTAGTCAGGAAATCATATTGTTTATTAGACATTTTTATGATAGATTTGTGTTCATGATTCATTGTTTCCCTGGTGGTGCCTCTGAAGCCAAAACGTTTCCCCATTATTCTAAGAGCGATAATAATTCCAATCCCCAACCTGCTGTTTTCGATCGATTTCCTAATTTATGATTTCATTAAAACCACAAAAATTTGGAATATTTTCACTCACTGTACATATACACTCTTAGAAAGCCTTAATTTGGTAAAACTCTGGGGGAGATGCGAGCAGTCACAACTCACAAGTGTAAAAAGCTATGAGATTCAATGAAAATGACCACAGAATAACAAGCCGAATAACAAGCCAATCAATTAATCAATAAATCTTCCTCAACATCTTCTAATTTGTCTCCATGATCCAAATATTCTCGGTTCTATCTTTAAAGGCAAAAAGCAACCATCTGGTCTCCCAATTCTCTTTTAAAAGCGAAATAATAACTATAATCCCAAGCCCAAAAAATGAAAATCCTCAAATAAAATTGTCTAATACAGGGGTCGGGAACCCATGGCTCGCGAGCCATATATGGCTCTTTTGGTGACGGCATATGGCTCTCGGAAAAATCTAATATCCCAAGACTAAGCTTACTATTGTTACGAGATTTCAAACTCTTTTATAGCCAGATTTGGCAGGAAATTCCCAATACGTTTGAGAACGCGCGCCCAGCACATGTCTATGTTATGTAAGATAATTACCAGACAGGCATTGTGACAAACAAAGGGGATTCTGGAACATATATTGTGACATCACAGAGCGATAGAGTTTTAAAAACACTACGGAGATGCCTAAACGAAAAACGGGTGATGAGTATCGTAGATTTCAACTTGGGCTGCATGTGAGCAACCGTTCAAGGCCCGTAGCGACTACATGCAGCATAAGAAATCACATTAAATGTATATAGACATTGTATGTGTTGACTTTTGAGTGAACATTTCAGGCCTGATTAAGTGAAGAAATGTTATATGGCTCGCACGGAAATGCAATTGAAAATATGTATATTTTATGGCTCTCTTGACCAAAAAGGTTCCCGACCCCTGGTCTAATAGCTTCATGTCTGTTGTATGAGAGAGGTGTTGACCAATTTCTCATTCAATGTCAACTGAGCTTGTAGAACATTGGTCAAGTAACGAACCATGAGTAGATCCTGTAAAAAAACAATGATAAATCAGTGATATAATCAGTGCCCGGCTGCCTGCAAAGTCACCACGATGGAATTAACAGATAAAATGTGGCAATTGTAAAAATAAGCACTAGATTTGGAAAAACAGTGATACCCCTTGGTTTGTTACTTATCGATCTTGATAAGTACGTTGATAGATATTTGTTTGTCTGTTAGATGCACGCGATATCTCACGAAAGCGAGGTTGAATCTGCTTCAAATTTTGTATGTGCATTCATCATATTGAGAAGCCTATTGATTTTGGATGAATTATGTTGTATAATTAGCGAGTTAATAATTAATTAGTGATGGGACACACGTGTCCCTATGGAGTAAGAGCGGATGAATCGAAACCGCAGTTTCTGTTTTGGGGGATCCCTTAACTTTCGATCGATAAGTCTTCGGTCTCCGACCGATATTCTCGTTTCTAATGTCAACCAATTACTACCAACATTTCTGCAGTACTTCACAATAAGTAATCTATTTAGTTTTTTTATTCCAACTTTAGCGTGTCTTTCACTTCGAACAAAGCTTTCTTTAAGCATACACTTCCATGAGTAAGATTTTTGGGAGAATCTTTATGGCCTGGCATAGCCATTATGCGCGGTAGTTCTCCCTCGAGGATGAAATAAATTGTGTAGAGCAGGGGTGTGCAACCTTTATTGCAGGAGGGCCAGATTCAAGTAATTGGGTGAAGCCACGGGCCGCACTTTTTCTTTTAAGGTATAATTTATATTAGTTTCAAGCACAAAATATATTTTTGCTAGCTAGTTTTGTTAATATGACAATGGCACTCGGGTACTTGTACTGGCTTTGCGACGCAAAGTGATTGGAATTGCTCGCACTCAAAACTCGTTTCGGGGTCACACTATTCAAAATTGGCACATCTCCGTGGGCCGCACAAAATTTCCTTGGGGGCCGCATTTGGCCCGCAGTTTGCACACCCCTGGTGTATCAAAAAAATCCTGGCACCTGAATATCGGTGATTCCTACCCGCAGTTAAAACTTATTAAGATGAAATTTATTATACTTCTCATTTCACCCAACTACACTTACATTTATATTATTATTCAGCATTGTATCGAACTCCTTCTCAGAAAGATGCGGGACTGAATAAATAAGATCAAGTAGAAATCTGCCGGTGTTAGAATCTGGAGGTGTTGTTCCATCCTGAAATAAAATAAGTGTTCAGAACACTTCAACAAATACTTTTCAGAAGGTCGACATAGATCGCTTTTTTCAGAATTTTTACAACAGACAGTACACAGATCTAGATCACCATTTGAAAGTGCAAGTCTTTATATAAAAATGCTCGATTAGCGGTACTAGTGCACTCACTGTGTGGCTCACCTAAAAACTAAATCTGCTGCCTATAGGACACCCAATGTGTCTATATAGGCCAATCAATTGAAGATTGAAGCCATACAGGGTGTTCAAAATATTTCGTCCAATTTTATAGTAACACCAATTGTAGTTCGCATTTATCATACAATAAAATTTATTTAACTCTTTCTTTCCGTATGACGAAAATCTTCGTACTCCGCCGGGAAACAATTTCACGCACATAATAAACAAACAAAGATTCCAGACAACTATCGTAAACATGCTCTCACATAACATTGATTATTTCGCGTTTCGCTTTGCTTGCAAAGCTCAGTCTGGTTTTTGTGCAAAGATTACGTATCGCTCGTTCAGGAGAGCTCTTGAAATTTCGTTTTGTGTAGCACGTGTTCACCGCAGCGATAAGAGAGAGAAACTCATTCTCAAAAATTCATCTTTTCATTTCATCAATACGTCATTTGGGTATACCCCCATTCCTTACTGGTGACAAACCCTTCTGAATGTTCTGGTCGATAAAATATTTATCTCCAGGGAGAGGAACGTCGGTTCAACCATTTGGCAAACAGCCTCTCGTCCAGTTACTAGTCCATGTTGGATATGGGAATAGTTGAACTAACAGTTAATCATTTCAAATACTCATCATCAAATGCTTTCAATTGCTAACTACTTATACTTCTTCTATTCTTTCGTGCCTATGAATACGTATGTATATAATTAAAGGATGTTGTAGCAAGAGTGAAAATAACTATCCAAAGGCCAATGGGCCGGGGCCAGGGCCCATCTAATTGGGCCACATGGGCCGTGGCCCATAGCTTGATGGGCCGTGGCCCTATCAGGAAAAATTCAATTATCTTAACAAAATTTTCAATTTTTACCAAGTTGTCAATATTCGAACCAAAAAAATATACTCCTGTAGTATGTGTGCCAGGTTAGGGTTAGGACAAAAAAAATTCAGATTTTTTACATTATAGTTCTATTATGAGTTCAGGGACTGTCTGTGTTAGCCAAGTGAATAGTTTCTTTACACAACTAGATGGGCCGCGGCCCATAGCCTGATGGGCCGAGGCCCAATTCGATGGGCCGTGGCCCCGGCCCATGCGCCGCAGAGGAGTCACCACTCCCACTCATCAAAACTGTATTCAATATTGAAATTCAAATACCTGATTAATTTCAGACAACCCTGAATTCACCAACATACCTGAACACTTTTGACATAATTCAAACAGACATCGAGCATTGAAGTTAGGTTTTCGATTGCTTCTGTTACATGCTGGAACTCTGATGGTACGGTTACTACACCTGCTTTCTTTGTGCAACCCTGAAAAATTTTTTTTTTATGTGAATGCTCTTCTCTTATGTATTTTAATGGCCTTGTTGGAAGAAGTGTCCTGGAATACCAACCTAATTTGATATTCTAGATTAGGGCTACTCAACTGGCGGACTGCGGTCCGAATCCCGACCTTTCGAGTATTGGATTTGGACCGCACCTAATTATTTATTTTGGATCATTAGCCTCACTTTTTGAATTTCCTATTATAAAATGACTTTCATAGTTTTGAATATATACGAAAAGAACTATAGCACCATAATGAACGATTTTAATTTGCTACTAATCATTAGTCGGTCGAGGAAGTGCTCGTTTAGGGATGCCGGAATATCATTTCTGGAAAGACCGGACCCAAATAATTTTGAAGTTTTGTTTATGGACCTTCGATAAAAATAGTTGAGTAGCCCTGTTCTAGAACAGGGTTTCCCAAACTGGGGCCCGCTGGGGGTCCGTGATGACTGCACAGGGGGTTCACAACAATATAAGAAGAGTCTTGTAGATCTTTAATGATTGATTTCACTCAAAAGGCCATTGTTTTGCTTTAGTTGAGCGATGTGGACAAATATCTATTGCTGTCAGAAAATGCAATTAATTTTATCTTAAAACGACCTACAAGTGTGAGGCAGCATTTTCAGCTATTATACGATGGCAAAATACAGGTTAGACTTGCGTAAAGTCGGACCTACGAGTTTGCTTGCCACAAATTGCTCCAAAAATTGTGCAGCGAAACACATTAACGTTGTTTTGTTGTATCCTACTGTTCTAGAAACATTATCCTTCCTCGTTAGTTAAGCACAGAAATTGTTACGGCATAGGAAGGGGATTAACTATGCATTTATGTCATAGCGAGAGCATAATGAGGGATTCATAAGCTGCTGCACAGGAATGAAAATTAATTTCATGAACATTTACTAGTTTTTTTTGACAAATTATCAAAATTTTTTTTATTGTGGTGATCATATCATTATATCACAGAGTGAGGGAAAAGACAATAATGCACTTTAATCAAAGTTGAGGTGTTTTCAAGTCCTGTGTCCATCACAATCTGATATGTTTCTAAAAAATGATAATATATTGAGCTCATGAAGTATGTGGACCAAGATGAGGGACACCAGAACGTAGTATTGGTACCAGGTTAGGGTTAGGCCATAATTTTAGGTACAAATACTACAGGAGTCACTTGAAATCGTAATAGAATCCAAATAGGGAAAATTGGAACAAAATTATGGCCTAACCCTAACCTGGTACACATACTACGTTTTGGTGTCCGCCAAATTGGTACGCATACTTCAGAAATACCGACATTTTTACATAAGGGGTCGTGAGAGCTCGTATCTTGCTTTGAACTAAATTGTACAAATAAAGATCCTATGAAGACATTAATCTCGCCTGGTGAGTACTAGTTTGGGTCTTGCAATTTCAGTAAGTTAATTATTGCAGATGCGTAGATCTGGGTGGTGCAAGGAGTCATAAATACTTACAGTTTGAATTCTGTCGACTCCAACTCTCTCTGCATCGTATTGAAGTAATTTCACATCAACAGGCGTGAACATCATACCTTGGGTTTTGCCTGGCACTCCAATGGGTGAGCTATTGCAAAAAGAAAGAGACCAAAAATGTATTAGTCCAGGGGTGTGCAACCTTTATGGATGGCCTGATAGAAATAACAGGTTGAAACTGCGGGCAACACCTTTATTTAGCATAGGCTTTCTAGTAGTTGCAGGCAAATGATTTGGTTATCGATTGGTTGTTGCTCAATTAACATTTCCAGACACAACACGATCAGATTTATTATGCAAAAGGATGATATTGACTTGACTGAATGGTAGCCTATCTACTTAAATAATGACTTGGTTTGAATTGAATGATGGATTGAAACCACGGTCCATCTTGAAATTCAAGTGGTTGCAATGACATACTCTAAGTGAGTGTTGTTTTCTACTAAGCGAGAATGTTTCTACTTTTTCCGGGCAAATTCTAACCCAAAAAACATTTCATTACTTTTTAATTCCTACCTTATGTAAGCTTTGAATCCAAGTTCTCCGTTAGTCAGTGTTGTATCAACAGTGAGATGGACTGGCATTTTATTCTTACTTTCTTTCGTATAATACTCGTGGATAAGTACAGAGTGTTCAGTAATGTCATGCCCAGTCGCGTACCTGGTGAAGAAAAAAAATAGAAGTGTTTATTGATAGAAATGTTATTATTATTGGTATCATGCACCGCAGTGTTCACTATTAGCGCACTTTTTTTGCGATAAGTGCGTGACACCTTCGCAGTTATTTTTAAAGACTGCGAAATCGTCATTTTTATCGCGTCTGTCGTCTTACCAGATGCCCGTTACAAAAAAAATTTAATTTTAGTGTTATATAAATATTCTCGGACATCCTTGAAATCTGAGAAGTGTGCTTTAGAACAAACCAAATGTGGAAAACTGTTCTTACCATCCAACGATCACTTCATTTGTATTGACCTTCCTATGAAGGTCGTACATATTCTTGGCGTACTCCATGTCAAATGCGACTTCATCGTCTGATTCTGTGTGAGGAACGCAGAAAGCATTCGTGACTGTCACTGCGTTTGCATCAACAGTACCTGAAAGAAGTTAGGAAAAGATTTGATGAGCTCATGTCATGACATATTTTTCTCCCACAAGATTTATTTAACCTAGACAAAGGGCAAGGGTAGCGAACCTTTTTCAATGAATAGGTCAAAAATTATATTTTGATCGCGGAACAGAAGAGAGTGGGTCACAGATATTTAAGCAATGTTTGTATCTATAAGAAACTCCTGAAACTAAGCTTCTGTTGGTGTTGGTGAAGTTTTGGACTTTACTTGTGCATCACATTTTTATCGGGGACTTTTTATGGCACTCGATTTTATGAAATTAGAGTACGAAAACACGCATATAATTTACCAAAAACAAGATACCGTACAAGATTAGGGTTTTGGAAAATTACCATACCGACCCAGAAATTAATAATTTGAATATGAGCGATCGCAGCCCTGACTGCCCAACTGACGGTACATTATAATAGTTTAGTTATTGTTGGAATAATAAGCCAGTTTCATCAACTTTTATCACTGATATGTTAGCATTTTTTTTATTTTATTCGTTCCTTGGCGGGTCAAGAATAAAACACGGTGGGTCACTTTGTCACCCACGGGTCAGTGGTTCGCCATCCCTGACATAGAGTAATCAGCAATGTGATAGGAAATGAGAGCAACATAAAATTCTACTGTCAGTGAAGCCATTTCCTCTACCAACACTTTTATATTTTGATTCTGTAAGATTCAAGGTTTTCTTTTTCCAACCTTAATTTTGTTTGTTTTTGTTTTGTTTTATCAATTATTTCTTGTTTTGTATGCTGATTATGGAGTGAAAATAAAGTTAAAATATTTACGATATGAGTGAAAAACGAAATATGAATACTTTAAATATTATAATCGAATTGACGAAGAAGCCATTTGAAGTATTCATAAAAATTAATTGAAGCAATTAAAATAAAAATATTTAAAATTGAAAAGAGCTCTCCAGATCTCTGCTTGTCCAGAGACTTGTTTATAGGTTGATTCCCTTTTGAAATGATTGACTCATGATTGCACAAGAACAAAATCAAACTTGCAGAAAAAAAGCACAAATGAATATTACTAATGAATTAATATTGTCACATAACTAAATTACTATTAAATGCACCAATTTTACAATTCTTACCTAAAAGTGTTCCCACTACTCTTTTTGCATCTTCTTTCCTCCTTTCAAAACTGTCAATAATGGTGAACAAAACCACAGGGTGAACGCATACCCGCCGATTTTCCGACATTTTTATAATATAATATGGTACTAAGTGTTATCTGATGGAAAATATATAAATTAGCACAATAGTAAAATCTTTTAAAATCATAAATAGCTAAGATTTGTAAGATATAACAGTTTTTTTTCGAATACTCGAGACGTGAACTCAAAAACCTGGGATTCGGCTTCTAACTGTATGCAAGTGAATTACTCAGGAAACTATCGGTTGTGGTTCCGTGTCCAACTATACAAAAATCATTTATCTCCAGCTATTGAAAAAATTATATAAAGATAAAACAAACATATAAATATATTTATTATAATTTTATCTATATTTTTAAATATTTATTTCATAACGTACCCTCAAAATTACATCACGAAACATGACGTATATAGCAAAATGATACGACTGAGTGACTCTTACCATTGCACGTGTGTTGTTCACGCTGGTCTCTTGGCTGCATTTGCGCTGTTAAAGTTTCGTTAGCTCTTGGTTTGCATTCGCGTTGTGACTTACTGAACTTTATCAAGGATTTTGTGCTATCTTCTAAATGGGGAGACCTGGTGAGTTATTTGATGTGTTTAATATAAATATAGTATTTTGTATATTAATTATGCTGGCTCAACACTTGTGTGATATTTTCATAAATTGAAGGTAAACCTTACTTAAGGTCTTGTTAGCGTTCCTGATTCTGCGATCAGTTTTATTTATTTGTTTTTATCAATCATTTTTCGCCAGTTATGCTGATTATTCTGTCGATATAAACTTATACCTATGTGGTACGGTAATATAACAGCGCAACCTATAATAATTAAAATTAGCAATATACGGCGCGTTTTATCCAAGATATGGCCGTTCAAAAATTTTGTCCGAAGTTAGGAACTGTCCGAAGTTGGGCGCTTTTACGGTACAGCAGTGATGTGTTGTTTGTTTAAGTAAGCATAATAGAGTAACATCTGAACATTATGTGTCACAAGAATATTTGATAGGTTTCCACTTGTTATTTATGCTCATATGATTAAGTCGTCTTATTGGCTTTCCTCTCTCTAGGTAAATATGTGAATCCTATCCTTATCAAAAGTACGTTGAATCTTTCAATTCTATTTTGGGCTTCTAAGTTACTCTGGTTCATCTCATATTTATTGTTTAAAACTTTCTTTTATTCATTTTTTTCAGGTTTTTCACCAAGAGGTGGCGGCAGAGGGGGGTTTAGAGGAGGAGGAAGAGGGGGCGGCAGAGGCGGATTTGGTGGCAGAGGTGGAGGTGGGCGTGGTGGATTTGGCGGAGGTGGGCGTGGCGGATTTGGTGGCCGAGGCGGGGGTAGAGGAGGACCCCGTGGTAAGTTGGACTTACTCTTTATCAATGTTATTTTTACAGGATTTTGGCATCTAGTGAAGTAAACGCCGCAACTGCTCAAATAACTCCACAAACAAAAATGGGATGTGAAATTTTTATGTAATTAACATTAAAGTCTGGAACTTCTAACGTGAAAGTGCTTGTACTGCTGTTCTCTAGTTGCAAATCATAAAGAAGTCATTATTGCAGCATTTGCTTGATTTAATTTTTCTGTTTTTGCCATGTGATGACATTTTCTGTGATATTACATTGAAGTTGACTTTTTTCATTGCAGGTCGTGGTGGTCGAGGTGGAGGAGGGTTCAGAGGTGGAAGGTCAACGGTCGTTGAACCTCATAAGCATCCAGGGATATTCGTAGCTAGAGGAAAAGATGACGCTTTGTTGACGAAAAATCTTGTTCCCGGGAACACTGTCTATGGAGAAAAGAAAGTGGAAGTTGAGGTTCGTGAATGTTTTTTTTATGAATATATTTGATTAAATATGATGTATCTTGGGGAATAGTGTTCCCTGTAAGGAAGTTAGGAGTACTATGGTGTTTCGCAGTTAAAAAAAAATTGTGAAGGTGCTTTGGTTGATTTTAAAGAGGTGATTTTAGCCAATAGGCTGATTTAATTATGAGAAAAACCATATCTTTTCAGCCGAAGTCAGGTATGAAAATAGCTCACTGGTTAGTCACTCAAAATACACGACCATAGTGTGTTCTGGATGATAACACAAGCAGTTTTCAATGTAATTCAATGAAATGTAAATTCTAGGTTTTTCTCATTAAAACAAGACCCATAAAATATCTATGAAATAACTTACGAACTACCATGCTTCCAAAAACAAGTAACTGGCTAACTAATCCCATACTCAACATAGACTGGTAACCGGACAAGAGGCCCTGGTTTGGCATATGGTTAAACCATCTTATCGGCTCTACTCTTTCCCAGGATATTTTGTAAATCCAATTACCGTGAGTGTGCAAACATGTTAATATAATTGGATGAAGGACCATGGAAGTTAAGAGGAAACTGTTTTTAACACATGTTTTATACAGTGTCTATACTCTATAACAGGGGTCGGGAACCCATGGCTCGCGAGCCATATATGGCTCTTTTGGTGACGGCATATGGCTCCCAGAAAAATCTAATGTTCCAAGACTAAGCTTACTATTGTTACGAGATTTCAAACTCTTTTATAGCCAAATTTGGCAGGAAATTCCCAATACGTTTGAGAACGCGCGTCCAGCACATGTCTATGTTGTGTAAGATAATTACCAGACAGGCATTGTGACATCACAAAGCGATATAGTTTTAAAAACACTACGGAGATGCCTAAACGAAAAAGGGTGATGAGTATCGTAGATTTCAACTTGTGCTGTATGTGAGCAACCGTTCAAGGCCCGCAGCGACTACATGCAGCATCAGAAATCACATTAAATGTATATTGACATTGTATGTGTTGACTTTTGAGTAAACATTTCAGGCCTGATTAAGTGAAGAAATGTTATATGGCTCGCACGGAAATGCAATTGGAAATATGTATATTTTATGGCTCTCTTGACCAAAAAGGTTCCCGACCCCTGCTCTATAAAGTCCCTTTACAATTTCAATTTTGTTAGGAAGTCAGTTCTCAATTCAATTTAACACACCTGTGAGTGCCAAAACAATATATGGTATCAATAAATTCCTTTCGCAGTTTTAAAAAAAGGCTGTATTGACATCCTGTATATCAATTTCTTGTTTTTTTATGGAAAAACGATATTCACTCAACTTCAACTATATAATTACAGAATGATGGCATAAAGATTGAATACAGAGCGTGGAATCCATATCGATCAAAACTTGCTGCAGCAGTTCTAGGAGGAATCGGCCACATTCATATGAAACCAGGATGCAAGGTCCTTTATTTAGGAGCAGCATCAGGAACAACAGTATCTCATGTGTCTGATATTGTAGGACCAGTAAGTTGGGATTTGTTATTAGGCTTCCCGCTGCTCGTCAGCAGGGAACCTATTGTATTCCTGTGTTTTATTAGGCTTCCCGCTGCTCGTCAGCAGGGAACCTATTGTATTCCTGTGTTTTATTATTATTATTATTTATTTATTATTATTATTTTTTGAAATTGGTCCTACAAACTTGAAATTCACCTCAAATGTGCAGAAGTTCTCAGCTAGCAATAAAATGCAATTTTTTTTTTCGCGGGAAGCCTGTTAAAGCTGCACACAGCTCTAGTTTTAAGAGAGTTTGCTTGAAGTTGGGTAATGTGCCCTCTTTAAGGAGCTTAATTCTGAGCAAAGTTATGGACGACCGTTGTAATGCAAAAATCTACCAAAACTATATAAAATTATGGGACAACATCTCATGTGTCTGATATTGTAGAACCGGTATGGTAAACATATTCATTTAATCAAATATCATTTATAATTTGAACAAAATGAACTCACTATAAAGTGCCTGAAAATTGGGAATTGACGACACTCCAAGCACTTCTAGTTTGGTATATTATTAGAGTTATAAATAGAATGGTTGCCACTGGTATATAAAGAGCGTCTGTTTTTTTTTAAAAGAGCCCAAAAAATTCCATTTCTTTTTACAGGAAGGTCTTGTATATGCAGTTGAATTCTCTCACAGATCGGGTCGAGATTTATTGAATGTTGCAAAGAAACGAACGAATATCATTCCTATCATTGAAGACGCCAGACATCCACACAAGTACAGAATGCTTGTCGGTATGTAACTTGCAAATTTTTTTAGACTCCCAGTCAGTATCTAAAGGGATCGAAGTTTTGGAAATGGATAAGTGGAAACATGTAATTGACACTCTGAGGGTCCCAAAGAAAACTTTGGTCTTTAAGGAAGAATGAGGGATTTTGAGACTTTAATTGAGTTTAACACTGCCAATCGTGTTCCCAGCTCTTATGGTGCATTTATTAGCCACCGTGACTCGAACTGGGGGTCCTGTTTATCGTGGCTCAAATTGGGGACGCATTGAACCAACTGTTATCAATACAATTATCTAGACTAAATTTTCAGTCTGGGATAATGCGATAAATATACACATAGGACATTGGTTATATACAGTTGCTCTTTAGTTGTTTGTTGGGAGTTTCGGGTCAACTTACTTTTCTTTCTTTTATTAAAACTTCTAATCTATCTGATGTTACCAATCTGGAGTTCTCTGGTCTCTGGTGGTGATCTCTGAGTGATTCCTGCCTTTTGGAAATAGGGGGTTTTAAAATTCCCCACTATCAATAATGGCACTCCCGAAGTATGTGAACCAAGATGGCGGACATCGGAACGTAGTATGTGTACCAGGTTAGGGTTAGGCCATAATTTCAGGTACAAATACTACGGGAATCACTTGGCTAGTCCCGAACTCGTAATAGAACTAAAATAAGGAAAATTGGAATAAAGTTAAGGCCTAACCCTAACCTGGTACACTAACTACATTCCGGTGTTCGCCATTTTGATTCTCATACTTCAGGAGTAACCAAAAAATGGAGCTAAAAATCTCTCAAGACACTAAATTTATATTTTATTTCAGACATGGTGGACACAATATTTGCTGACGTTGCACAACCTGACCAAACAAGAATCGTAGCGTTGAATGCCCATCATTTTCTAAAGAACGGCGGACATTTTGTAATTTCTATAAAGGTGAATATTTGGTTCATTTTCTCAATTTTTTTTTGTGATGGAGACTGCTAGACCAAACAATGTCACATGTTAAAAATTTCAGTTTCAAACTCCACACCCACCACACGGGGCACAATAACTCATGTAGGCATGTCGAACCAAAAGGTTTTGGGCTCTTACAAAAGAAGTAACTCTTTGTGTATCAATGGACCTTTCCCCGAGCATCAACTTCCTTGTTTACCTCGTGACATTGGCCAATCAGCAAGATGCAAAAGTGACATAACAATGCCCCCATTTTGCATTCGCTCAGACACTTTTCTCACTAAGACAGATTTTCAAGCGTGGTTGTAAACATTACCTCGTTTTCGCGTTTTTGAACTCTATCAGTTAGTTTTCAGTTGTGCTTCGTAAATTTAAATATAAATCCGATAATTCAATGATCACTCTGTCTTCCTAGGAGTTTTAATTTAATTGCAGTAATAAAAAATTAGTGTAGAAATAGCTGTGATAGACTGGGCTAAAAGTCCTTACCGGTACTTTTATAAAACAGATTGTTGTATGCGATGAATCATAATAATGGTTTGAAACACATTCCCCATTTTACAGGCGCCAACTCGCGAAACCACTTTTAAAATAAGCCCCGAAAAATTTGCAATGTTAAGGTATAGGAAGAATTTTTCGGGGGTCAAAGGTCGGGGAAAGGGAAAGGTCCATAGCTGCTTTTCCAGCCTTATGTACAATGTTTGTGGGGGCGATGACCTAGTACAGGGGTGTGCAACTGCAACCCAGGGGCCAAATACAGGAAAAATTGTGCGCCCTGCGGAGAAGTGACAATTTTGAACGGTGTTCGGCCCAAATACTGGGAAGCCTATGTTAAAATAGGTGTATCAGTGGCTGCTTATTTACAGAAGCCTCATACAGAATGAAGTACTTCTAGTCTTTCCCTAGAAAACTTCATGCATAGAACATTCATTTTGTCATGAATCACAAGTAAAAACATAAGTTATTCAAAGACTCATTTGCTTTTATGGTCGTCACCAAAGGCACTTTCTAAAATAATAAAATTGATCACTTGACCAGCAGAGTCGATCCTTTCTAAAAATGTCCCAATTTACAGGCCTCTTGTATTGACTCTACGGCAAAACCAGAAGCAGTTTTTGCTTCCGAGGTCAAGAAAATGAAGATGGAAAAAATGAAACCGAAAGAACAGCTAACCCTTGAACCCTACGAGAGAGATCACGCTGTCGTTGTTGGAATGTATCGTCCACCAGCGAAAATGGAAGAATGAGGGATTTTGAGACTTTAAATGAGTTTAACACTGCCAATCGTGTTCCCAGCTCTTATGGTGCATTTATTAGCCACCGTGACTCGAACTGGGGTCGTGTTTATCGTGGCTCAAATTGAGGACGCATTGAACCAACTGTTATCAATACAATTATCTAGACTAAATTTTCAGTCAGGGATAATGCGAAAAATATACACATCCTTTTTATTCCCATTCACCGTTCCACTCCCATATAGCATGGCACCAAAAGCTAAATATTTTTGTCGACCACATTTTGGGACCTCCAGAAGTATGTGTACTAAAATGGCGCACAGCCTGAACATAGTATGTGTACCAGGTTGGGGTTCAGGTTGTGCGCCATCTTGGTGCACATACTTCGGGAGTGCCGAATATTGAATGTCAGTGTGCCTTTAATCCCCTTACATAGCCTCTATTTTAAAAAGATCAACTATTTTGTATGTGTCAAAGCAAAGTTGTTGAGTTGATATCTTTTGTGAAAAAACATAAGCAAATCAACAATTTTGTTGCAAGTTTTTTCTAACAAATGTGATGCATTTGAGGTTTTGAATGAAATGGATTTGCTTGACTGTAGAAGACGATTTCTAGATTTCACTGTTGAGCAAAATAGGATTCCCAGAACTGATCGAATATTGGAATGTAATCGAAATAAAAATTGAATTCTTGATTGTAGGAACAGTTGGTACTATTCTGAATTTGGAAGAAGATAGTTAATTTATTTTGAACCACTGCCATGGTAAAGAAAAATTACAAAACACAAGCCAAACTCAAATGAAATTAATATTAAATCAGTTCTAATATTCGATTCGTTTTCAACATCCAAAAGGCTAAAATAACCCTCTGCCACACTCAAGAAACACATATTTTTGCTCTTGAAGTTTTAATCTAGCAATGTGGTTTACGTAACTAGAAATAAAAACACATTAGGTATTCTGGAATCATCTCTACAGGAGACGAACTTGAATCAGTTCCTATATTCGATTTGTTATGGATATCCCCTGAAATGGTCCTCTGTCACACATAATATCGATACATCATGATTTCTTCTGTACTTGGTATTTAGTTGGTGTGAATTTTTAAATGCTGCTTTTGTATCAGCATTTTATCTTTCTAATACAATGATAATAATGGAAAAACAAAGGTGTGAGTTTTCTGCAAAGGCTGGTGAAGGCAGCTTAATTGTGTGCAACAGCTATTGACATTTTGATACTCCAGAAGTATGTGAACCAAGATGGCGGACACCGGAATGTAGTATGTGTACCAAGTCGAGATTACACCATAATGTTTAGGTACAAATACTACGGGAGTCGCGTGTCTAGTCCCCAAACTCTTAATAAATATTGGAATAAAATTATGGCCTAACCCTATCCTGGTACACATACTACGTTCCAGTGTCCACCATCTTGGTTCACATACTCCTGCAGTACAGACATTTTAGCGGTTGGTGTAACTTTGCTCAGAAATAAGTTCATTCCTGGGTGTACATGCATGTTGCTTGTTACCGTAGATACCAATCTGATCGGGGAATCCGGCCTCTCATGATCTTTCTCAGATGATTTGGACAGCTTTAAGAAGCAGATTACAGATTGGACATCGATAAAATGGAACTGCGATTATAAAAATTTGAGACAATCCCTAAAAAACAATCAGTAACCATGAGGAGAGATGACTTAAAAATGCATTGTAATATCGACCAATAGGATTTCAGACTTTTATGTATTAAAACACGTCACGTCACATCAGTCTCTATTCGTATTCGATTTTGAGGTGTAGTTACTAAAGAATTGAACCGACAGAAGAACTTTTTCTTATCCCATATTTGAACAGAAGGGAGACAGCTTGCACAAAAGCTGCTTGTCAAACAGCTATGTGTGAAAGAATGGCTTTATGTAGTGTGTTGAATTGCTCACCAATTCTGTGATTTCATAATTGCTCATAAGTCATAATTGAGTTAAAAATAAGGTCATTGTGGTAAAATTAAATTGAAACTGATTCTGACTACTAATAAATAAAAGCACGTTTTCCATCTCCTGACTGATTTTGAGCCTGCGATTTACCAAAAATCCAGTTTATGAGAACTCTGGTTACCAAAGCCTTATGTTCTATAGTCCCAAGTTGTGCAATGTCCATTTTGCCGTGATCTGCGAGACATTCTCCTATCCGGCAGAAAGTTAAAAAACGCTGTTAAATAAACCCTATTTGCTATTTGTCAAAGCAGTGGTTTCCAACCAACCATGATTCATGGCCCATACAGAGGCCTTTTAGCACTTGTGAACTCCCTGTTTATCATTACAGTGGTATTTATATTGTTATTTCGATTTGTAGTTTACAAATCCCATTACGTTCAAACACTTTGTGCTCAACAAAGTGAAAACCCCCTTTGAAATAACCTTATCAAGCAATAAAACTAGGCAGAATTTTAAAGTGAAATTAGTTTTGCTCCTAGCATTGTGGTTCCCTACGACTGCTTTGTGGCCAATTTGGAGGCCACTGGTTCCTGCTTGGAAACCGCTGTGTCAAAGCCTTCTTTTCTACCATCTCTCCTCCTTAAGCCAACAATGCCTATGTTTGCTTCTGGTTCCTTCAGTAATCCCCATGTTTAATGGCAGACAATTTTTTCTGATTTAACAATACCTAATTCAATATATTAAAATCCAGTTTATTCACCCTTTTTCACGAGCCCTCAACCGGTTATGTCATTTTCAGGTGAGCTACAAACATTAAAAATTTGCTAGAGTTATTGATTGAAAATGTAGTTCAATTTGATTGCAGTAGGAATGGATGATAATGATGATTTTTCTGGTAACTATTTAAGAGAAAATGTGCATTTTGCAAAAAGTTAATGAATGGGCCACCAAATTTTTATGCAATGATAATGAGCAATGAAAGAAAAAGGATGAGAACCACTGCCCTAGTCGTTTGTCAAGTAACCTCTTCTGAAGTCCCAGCTACTTTTTATTTTCTATAGCAGTGGTTCGCAAGCAGATTTCCAGGGGTACTTGGATGACAGTCGAGTTTTGGTATGTTGCTGTTTTTTAATATCCTTCATTACTACCATGGGGAAACGAGTGACGATTGAAACTAGACGACAATTGAAATGTAGATTTTACATGATCTAGCGTTGTTGTGATTGTGATGCAACAATGTGAAATTCGAGGCTTTGCGTACAAACGGTGAAATCTCTAAAGACAGCGTGCTGCGAGCATTAGAGAAGTGATTATGCTTAAGAATTTATTAGTTAGGCAGATGACAAGGGCAATAATATCAACAAGACGATTTAATTTAGTTACATATGGTCAATAAATTGTTGTTTCAACAAATCGTTAGTCAATATATCACAACTTTGTTCAGTGTCTGATTACCGGGGGTTCGCGTTGATTGTTTCGTGACTCGGGGGTACTTGACAGAAAAAAGGTTGAGAATCCTTGCTCAATAGGCTTCTCCAATAAAAACAGTCCTAATTGATTTAATAATTTTAATCTTCAATAATATATTGCAAAATGACGATAAAATAAATGACAACAAGTAACAAAGCACACTGGAATCAATATAGCAATAATCAAGATACACAGACAGAATAAAATATATTCAATTCTAATGCAGTTTATTCTGCAATATTTTGAGGCAAAATTAAGCAGCAGGTAAACTTGCTTAATTTGGGAGAGATAACAAAACCTCACATATTAGATCATCCTTTTATTCATTTTTTTATGCTCGGAGTAAAAATTATATTTTTGACGCTCCAGAAATATGTGTGCCAATATGGAGGTAACTAATTTTGTTCGCCTTTTGTTCAAATTCTGTAAGTGGACTGAAATCTATGGGCAGGGGGTACATTCACTTGGCTAACACAGACAGTCCCCAACTCGTAATAGAACTAAAATAGGGAAAATTGGAAAAAATTATGCCCTAACCTGGTACACACACTACGAGAGTACCAAATTTTCAAACTTGATGGGAATAAAAGTCTAAATTCTGGACTTTTGAGTCAGGTTCTTTCAGAGTTAAAATACTCAATGACATGAATATTGAATTTTTTCAAAATTTGTATTTCAGTGGCTGTCCTGCTTTACTCAAGAGATGAGTTTCCTTTGTTTCTAAATAACAGTGTGTGACATGGCTTTAACAAACCAAATTTATAATCAAAATCTCAAAAAATAGAAATGTCAAACCCAAAAAGCAGAGACAAAATTTCCCATCACACTGAAGTTTCAAATGGTTTGTAGTTTCATGCTAAGCCCTAGGTGCTTATATAAAAATAATAACATTAGCGGAACCAGTGCTTCATGTTATCTTAAGTATGATTAGGTATTCTCTACTAATTGTAGGCCGACTTTGGATTAATCGAACTCCAGAAAGAAAATACTTATTTCAACAGGGCCAATATTGAGGTCAGGATCACCTGACCAACTCAGAATTATTTTATTAAGCGTTAATGCACCCATAGAAAATTCGTCCATGGAAATATCTGTCATGTCCCTTTTCCTTTGTTGCCCTAAAATGTGCTTATTTTGCTTAATGGTTAATCCAGCCCTGGTCCCATGCAATCCACAACTTTGCATGTTTCAATTAACAAAATAATGCAAACTGGCACACTGTGGTCGACATTATAGTACAAATAGTCCCATAAAAATATCAGTATCATAAAAAAATTTGAAACGGTACGCATAGCATTGATTCTCAACCTTTTATGGCTGGGCCTCCTTCCAAAGGATTTTAGCACTCATGCCTCACTGTTTATCATTCCATTGGCATTTTGGTAGATTCCAAATTCCATTATGTTTAAACAATTCATGAATAACGAAGTGAAAACACCCTGTGAAATATCTTTATCAAGCAATGAAACTAGAAATAATGGGGACTAAGTAAAATGGTGTTTGCGCCTAGCATTGTGGTGGCCCCTTGGGTGGCCATGGATCCCCTGGTTGAGAACTTCTGTACGCGTAGAATTTTATGATTCATGTCTAGATATATATAGGACAGGGTGGTCCAAACCCAGGCCCGCGAGCCACATGTGGCCCGCTGCTTCATTATCTGTGGCCCGCGTCACATTCGGAGAGTAATCAAAAAATCGCATTTTGTGTTGTTTCGTCATAAAATTAATCAGAAAAATCTTTTGACATATTGTCATCACTAATGTCACTGAATTGAATAGTGTTATGGCTAGCTGGGGAAACTAGCGAAGTTGAATGATGTGCTTGGCAGTCTAAATTGTTATCTGGTTTTCTAACTTTTTGGTCGGGAATATAGGCATCAGAGAAAACTCAAAATCGAATGCGGATTCTATTAGCCTAGAATGGCTAAGCCTGATACCTATTTGATTGCACAATAAAAGTGTTTGTTTTGTGTTGCACTGTTCACCTATTCTTGACACTATTGTGGCCCCCGAACAATGCAAAAATATTTTTGTGGCCCGCGAAGCCCACAACCTTGGACCACCCTGATATAGGATATAATATGATCATGATAAATAAATAGTTAAGAATGAACGACTTTGCTGAAGTTGCAGTGAAAATTGGTTTGGCTTAGTCTTACAGTAAGCAAAGAAGTCTAAACCGGGATAGTTTTCTATCTAGGATACATATCTGCTCGATTTACCGCCCGATCTTGATTAAGAGCCCGTTTGAATAGCCGCCCGTATGAACAGAACATAAAAATAAATAAGGGCTGGTGCTTGAATACCCGCCCGATGTAAAAGCAGATTTTTAGTGGTAGAGAACAATAGGAAATAAGAAGCGCTTTTGTCACTACGCTGTTGAATTTTAAGCGCCGGTAGATAACGCTCACGCCTTAGGCGTCCAAGTACATAACAGATAGCATTGATTACGTAACACCATGGTTCTCAAACTGGGCGTTACGACAAGTGCGTCGTTTCAATATTAATAGGGCGTCGCAAAACTTTTCTTCTTTTGCGGATTTGTACCTGCAGTGCGTAGAAAAAGTCAAAATTTTCTTTATTCTCGTTTAAATCATACTTGAGAACTGGAAATAACAATATTTCAATTATTGGAACGACCGAGATTAACAAGAATGAGAGCCGGTTTGAATAAGGGCTCGGTTAGTGAGTTGGTTGAAAAAAATATGGGCCCGGGCTACAAAATGAGCAAATACGGTATGTTCTAAACTAGGCTATAGTTCTG